CTCTTCTTAGAACAAGGCATCAGCTTTTATTCCTGCGCCTAAACACTGCAGGGAACTTGTTTATGACAAAAATGCTGGATCCATCACTGTTCCTACTATACTATCCATTGGGAGTCATACTGGCAGCAGAAGACCTATTTCCAGTAACTGAGCATAATGATTATTTGGAGATACGCACGATGCACATGACAGATCAAATCACTGAATCAAAGGAGAAAACGGTGGCACTTAGTGGGCTAAGGGTAGCAGAAGAGTCAGGTCTGATCACGCATCAGTCCTGCCTTTTCTCTTTTCAGTCTCAAATACAGACAGGTGCCAAATGACCTGGGGAAAGGAGTATTAGCTAAAAGACAGAGATTTTCAAAGAAGTAAGTACAAATAATCATGCAGCAGCTTTCTTGTAGAACAAAAGAGGATACCAAGTTGCAATGACTTAGATATCATGGAGCAGCAATATGCAGTTTAGTTTGGGCTCAGGTTCAGACAGGTTTTTCCTGACGTCTGACAGTTCTGCAGAATGGGGGCACTTCCTTTTTTATTCAACACATTTATCCATTCTATTGAAAAGCTTTATCTACCCCGAATCAATGCAGGTGCCCCAAGCAACAACTGAAAGCCCATAGGCTGTGTATACCAAAAGTTGACTCATTTCGTAGGCCAGTGAACTCTTGTCCCGCTGGCGTAACTGACAGCTCATGTGTGTCTGCATACATTTTCATTGTGAATATCTTATCTCCTTGAATGTTTAACATGCAAACAGAGCTCAGGGAACAGTAAATTTGCAGGTAGATGTTGCTTCATATCAAAGGGGAGAAGCCACAAGTGGAGCCCGTCTTCCTAGGGTACGTAGGAAAAAGGGTAATCACGTTCAACAGGAAGACTGATAAAGATGTCTGAAAAAAAATAATAGATTGACCATTGTTTTATAAGCAAAATGATAAAGAGCTATTTATAAAGAACTGCTAAGTGAGAAACTGCATCTTTGTTTTGCCCAGCTCTGCAGGCAGGAAAATGAAAGTCTTATATTACCGTGTTATCCCCTACATAACAGGAAGTTGCTCCAAGGTGAATGATGGCTGCAGCTTTGGGACAGCAGTGGGCAAAGGTGTGAACGTGTGCCATCACATCATGGCGCAGCTTCTTCTCTTCTTCCGCTGCCATCTTGAAGTCAATGTTGTCCAGATTTGTTTCCATCTCCTTTATCTGCTCATCTGTGATGGGAAGCCCAAGTGACTGCAAAGGAGAAAGAACTTTAAGAGGAAACTCAAATTTGATACAGGCGCTGTTTAAATAATTTACTCCCATGTGACAGCTCATGGAAGCACGGCAATTGGGCACAGTCAGAAGATGCAAGAGAAAATGCTTCATTCTAGAGTTCTCCAAACCCTTCCAGTAAGGCACAGTTCAAGATTAGATGTTCTTCCTAGGCTTCACATTTCCCTCAATCACAGAACATCCCTGTGTCAACTGCAAACATCAGACATACAGAGAAAAAGACTTAAAAAATAGCACACTTTTAACTTCTTTCAGTGAAATTTACCATTTGGGTAAAGAACAGTTCAGCTACCAGGTGACAAGATAGCTTGTGTCAGGAGGAACTCTGGACAAAACAACTGCAAGCATATATGGTGTGCTTACAACAACTGCTTAGAACATATGGAAAGCAAAGGCTGTTTGCACCTTTCCAAAAGCCCTAAAATTCATCTCAGCCTGAAACTGGGATCTGGGAGAACTAATTCCCTGATCTGGAAGCACCAGACAAATACTCCTAGTTCGTCTTTTAAAATATTTGTTAAACTTTTTCTGGAAGCTGTTTTAAAAACAGAGTAAGATATTATCAATACTGGTATAAACCTTACACAAGCTAATTAAGATGAGCAAAATGTCTCTTTCTAATATGGTGAGTTTAAAAGTCTCACAGTGAACTTAGCACTGCTGCCTTTTCTATGTTAAAATGCTACTATTCTGCACAGCAGTAATTGCAATTCTCCAACCAGGAAGCTTTAATGATACAAAGCATTTCAAAAGCTCGTTCTATTCAGAATCAAACTGATTAAAAAAGTGTTTGCACATGTGGAATCTGGAATTAGAGAAAATAGCAAGGGAAGCAGATAAGTCTTCAGGGTCTTCATCAGGTAATTAGCACCCAAACAACTTAAAATACCTTGCTGCAAGCGTAATGACACAACCACGAATGTCCAGATGAGCAAGGGGTAGCAGCTGGCTCCAGACTGCTGTCTCTGAGGTGCTCTGATACAGATCATAACTGCCTGGAAGCCCACAGACAAGACATCAGGCAACAGTCTTACGCTAACAGCTCTTGTATTGTTCACATGTCCGTGAGCTGTTCTGAAAAGCTGAAGATGGTATGTGCCACAGAGGAAGAAGTAATATCCAAGAAAAGAGACTGTTGCAACATCAGTACATGTCAGGTAGGAGCCAACGCCGTGTCCTCACGTGCCCACAAACATGACGTGATGCCTCTTCCCTATGACCTTCTGTCAATATTGACAGTACCTCAGGGAGAAAGCAATCAGATGTCCTTCAAATTTGTCCACCTGAAAAAATTAAGGACCCAAGTGACATCATGACGTTTCTCCGAAGTGCCATAAGTCAGTGATGGGCTTTCTGCGTTGTGCTTTTAAGGTGCAGTTCCTCTAAGGCTGTTCCAACACAGTGACGTGATGTTGTAACTGCTCTGATCATTTACTCCCTCCTATAGCAAGAGGTCAGAGCAAAGCAGATGTGTGATACAGAACATCTCTGACAAACAGAATAAGAACACTGGGCTGCACATCTGATGAAGAACATGTCAGATAAATACTCCAACTTTATAGGGAAAAGAAAAAAATTGAGAACAACTGTAGGTGCTTATCCTTAGGAGAGGAAACACTGAGATTCCACATGCGCAGAACACTACTGGTTGGGTCAAAGCTGTGGGATGTCTACTGGAAAGAAGAGCTCCATTAATTTTTCGCTTGTCTTTCAAACAACTTACTGTCAGGTTAGGAGTTCAAGGCTCAAATTAAAGAATGATGTGAGAATGTTGTAATGCAAATGAATTTACATTAAAAACAACACAAAAATTAGAGTTTGGAGATGGATATGAACTCCCATACTTTAGCTCTTAGCCTGGACTTCAACTAGTATTAACTAGGAGAAGGTGAGTTGAAGAAGCTGTCTCCACATGCTTTGCTGATTCTCCTCTTTCAAACTCCTGGCATCACCTGCTGTAAGAAACAAAACACAACCTGGAAAGATTGTCTGTTTAACCCAGTATCTCGTGACACAATCTTTCAGCTATTTCACATATTCCAAGTGGGCACACTGAAAAATTTCTCCAATGAATAGGGTGGGTATTGAAACCACATACCTCACCTTATCCTTCACCTAAAGCTTATAACTAAATCGTACGTTCTCTCTTTTGCTACTTCCCTACAGCTTGCAGAAAACTTACTGTTAGGCTTTCCTACCATTCTGATTTACTACAGGAAGGCTGCTAGGGTGACTGGAGAGGCAGGGCACAAACGTCTTGAAAGACAGTGAAGATAATTACTGGCGTAAATGTTGCCCACGGTTCATTCATTGCATTATTATTATTATTATTATTATTACTTTACTGCATGCAAAAAGAAATACTACGCATTTTTTAATAACAACCTCAGGAAATCACTTCTGACTGCACCTATCACAACCTGCCCGCTGACAGAGATAACAGGTGCTGAGGAGTTGGCTCTTTCAGGCCAGATCTGACTTCAGAAGACAAACTCCTCTGGAATGAGGAGATAGATAAAAATAGCGGCATCCTTCCTCCCACTTTGAAGAGTGTGCTTTAGAGACTGCACTGTCTGCCTCAGCTTTCTGGGAGCAAAGCCGTGGTGGCAATGGGAGGCAAAGCAAGGGGCAGGAGACACGGGAACCCGAGCTCAAGGCCTGCGAGCAGACACCAAGAACTTCTCACTGGTTCTTCCAGCAGCTTGCTTCCTCCTGTTAGGTCCGTCACTGTACTTCAGCATGTAGTGCTTCACCCGAGCACAACACAGCTGTATCGGAACAGCTCCAGCTTCCAACACGCTGCCTTTGGTGCAGAAGGAGAACCTCAGCCGCACCGAGCCCTGCTTGCTCATCCTCCAGCACCGCGCTTCCCTGCCCTCAGGCCAGCAGTGACAGCTCGGCATGGAGCCCGCCTCGCCTCTGCACACCGCTACTGAAAGACGCTAGCTAGGCAGTGTGAGAGCTGTCCCATCACAAGCTTTTGCGCCTTGCTTTTATTTGCGGCAGCACTCGCCCGCCTTTTCACTTTCAGCCTGGGGGGCTGAGCGTTCTGCTCGCTCGGACCACGAGCCACCTCAGCCCACATCTGCGGCGGGCAAGGCTGCCGAGCGCGGCTCTTTCACAACCAGGGGAGCGGGAGGGCGGCGTGCAGCGCGAGCAGCGATTGGCTGGGGCCGGCAGCAGAGCCGGCCTCGCGCTCACACACCCCATCGGAGCCCCTTTTAGCGGTTACGCTTCTATTTGTTTTGGAGGAGGCGAAGGTCGCCTCGCCGAGCTCATCCCGCACGGCGCGGCACCGGCTCAAGGGACCCGAGGCTGGCAGCCCGTTCAGGACCGCAGTCGCAGCGGCCGCGTCTCGGCGCCGTTACCTTCTCGGCCTGTGCGAGGTAGAGCCAGAGGCGGCGCCAGGTTCCGAACTTCTTCCTCTCGCTGAAGTTGAAGGCCATCTCGGCGCTGGCGTACCGCGACACCAGCGGAGAGCGGTAGCGGGCCAGCGGGTCCTCCTCGGCGCAGGGGGTCGCCATGACGACGGCTCGGCGGAAGGGGGGAAAGGGGACGCGCGCTGCCGGCAGCGGGGGGATAAAGGGCGGGAGCCCCGCCTCGCCACGAGGCCCCGCCCCCAACGCGGTGCCCCGGGTGGGAGGGAGGGGAAGGGAGACAGCGCCGCCTGTCGGGCGGAGGCCGCGGCGCGGGGGAGCAAAGAAAACGCGCGGGAAGGCAGAGGATTAAATGCTTAGCAGCCAAACACATTTATTAGTCTTTTTCTTTTTTTTTTTTTTTTCTTTTTTTTTCTTTCTTTTTTTTTCCAGGAACCCAAAAATATTTTGTAGTTATAATGTAAGCAACTGAGTTGCACATAATACAATCATATCTTTCAAAAAAAAAAAAAAAAAATTAAAATTAAAACGAAACAACAAAAAAAAAGCTGTTTTAAAAGCCCAAAAAAACCTTCAGAAAACTTATATATGTATTACACCATCTCTCAGTTTCAATGAAATGACGACGACTTATTTCCTTATTACTCTTAACTTGTTACACTCCAATAAAACATCACCCTTTTTGTTTGCTTTTTCTTTTTCTCTTTTTTTTCCTTTTTTTTTTTTTTCTAAATCCAGCATGAGAAATACAGTACCTGCTATGGCAAAAATACACATAAAATGCAACATTTCAGCTTATTTGTACATTAGTAGAGTTTAAACATTTTATTGTTGTTGGTTTTTTTTTTTTTTTTTGTCTTTTTTTGTCTTTTTTTTTTTTTTTTTTTTTTTAAGTGAACCAGTGATTTTAAGTACCACTATACTAAAAGTAAAATAAAAATATAGGAAAGGAGGAGAAGGGGGGGGGCAGCCAGCCATATAAGAGCACCTGCTAAAGTGCTGAGTTTCTGTGTCCATGGAGAACCCTTCGGAAGGAAGTGTGGTGCCTGGGGGGTGCGAACGGAGCGGCCCGGCCCTGGGTAACTGACCGTGTGCCAACCGACCCCACTGCATCCCCCTGCCCTGCCTCTGCTCTGTTACTGCACGTGGGGAAGGAGGGGAGAAGCAGAGCGACGGTGAGAGCTGAGCAAAGGAAGCTGTTTCAAGTATAAGAAAACAAAAACAAAAACTCAAACACAACCAAAAACACTTATAGGTAACTTGCAAGTAGCATCAATATACACAGCCGCTATTCTTATTATTACGATGTCTGCTGCTGGGGGACAGTGTTTCAGGCAAGAGGACTGAGCTGTACCTTCCTGTTACCTAGTTATGTGCAAAGTAGAAAAGCTGCCTTTTCTCATCCAGCCAGTTTGGACATCACCGATTTCTGCTCTGCAACCTCCTCCCTTCATTCTGCCTTTTTTCCCCTCTTTCTCTGAAAAGAGGAAGGCGGCACTGCTTTGCTGACAAGACAGATGAAATGAACCTATTTCCCACTCCTCTCGACACACCTTCTCCCACTGCCAGTCTGCAGCGAGGAGAAGCTCACCAGACACCTGATGCCCACTGTCAGCCAGTTTCCTGAACAGGTAGAAGGCATTGACCTTTGTAAACATAATCCCTTATGTTTGTGAAACTGAAAGCAGCATTTCGCATCTCCAGCCGAGCGGTGGAGACGAGGATAGATCAGAGCACTCCCACCGTTGCACCTCCTCCCTCCTTCTGGAAGATAACATTTGGTTACTTTGTTAGAAGGGTTTTTTGCTTTTCTTTCTTTTTCTTTTTTATTTTGGTTCTTTGGGGAAAATAGCTAACCTTGGGTTCAAAGTAAACATGGCAGAGTTGCCATCAGCAGTTGTGCTGCTGTTTGTTCTGTTTTCTGCCTAAGAAAGGAATAGCATCGCATAGCAGATGCTCTGTGTGCACCCGACAGAAATGCAAGATATGTGTATGGAAACGTCACGGGTGCACACGGCGCATCATTTCAGCTCCTTTCTCTGCAGAAGCACTGCATTTTGCCTCAAGGACTGGCAGAGATGGAGAGGATGGCACACTAGGAGAGCGGAGAGACATCCCTAAGGCCATGGGGGGCAGCGCAGCACAGAAAGAAGCAGGCAGTGTCAGACGGGAGGTTTCACAGACTCCATCTCCTTGGCATTTCAAAGGCCAGACTCTCAAAAGGCCCAAAAGCACATCCCAGAGATGTGCATCCACATGGTTGGAGACTGGAGAAGGCAGCGAGGCTCCCTGACCACTGCAGGCCCCAGCCTGCCCTCACAGTGCGAGGGACGCTCCCTCCAATCCTGTGTCCTACTGGCAGGAGATGGCTTCTGGCTATTGCGAGCCGAGAGACACTGCACAAAGTGTCACCGATAACACATCGATGTGGGGAAGGGAATGGGAAACCACTCTGATTTTGTTCACGGAGCAGCTAAGGTGGAATGGTTCTCCATGTGACAGCCCTTCTCTACGACCGCAGACCACGGCCTCCCCTTCACAACGGCAAGAGAAGTGCCCACTTGAATGATGACACGAACAACAGCTCTACTGAAAGGGAGGGAGAAGTACACAAACTGATTCCAACCTGGAGATCCGGTGAAAGCAGCAGCAAGCTCAAGTACTTCAAGTTCAAAGGTTTATCCAGAAGTGTAACTAGAGACGTGTGACCTGCAGCAAAACTGGCGTAACCCTACAAGAGCAGCAGCAGGAAACTGGCATGAAGAGAGGACGAGGATGAGTAACTGAACCTCCATTAACGTCTGTTATTTAGGATCTGAGTGTCGAATGGCTTTATCAATGACAGTGTCATGGGTTCTCTCCCTTCACACAAGCAAAAGAAATGTAAAAAAAAAATGAACTGTCTTGCTGTAAAAACTCTTAATACTTCTATCAAGCTTTTAATCTTTAAAGCACATCACAACAATGTTGATCCTCACAAAACCCCTGTGAGGTAGGTAATTGTTATTATCACCTCTGTTTTACAAATGAAAAAACAAAGGCAAAGAAGTTAAATGACTTGCCCACAGCCAAAGAGGGAAGAATAAGGGCTGATGTTAAAATTCAGGAGTTTCAGGCTTCTGGTCCTGTGCCCAAAACCAATAGTCCAAACATTTTTCTAAAAAGGAGATAACAGATGGAAATAAAAACCCATTGAGCTTCAAAGAAAAAGTAAGATTTGAATGGTTACATGAGAAGGGGAAATGTACCATGAGGTATTTTTGTGAGTGAGTTTAAACTTCAGATTTTTTTTCACTTTTTCCATATAAATGTTTTTAAAGGCAATCTGACAGAGTGGAACCCTGATAAGATCGCATCTGCAAGGCAGGCACAGATGCGAGAGTGATCATCAAGTCTATTACTTATTACAGTACTGTGAACGTCAACAAAAACAAAATTGCTGCATGAAAACACTGAATACAGGCAGGATAATCTCTCGGTATATGATATTACATTAAGATAATGCCAAGAATAATGCAGGTACCATGGTACCACGGACAAAGGAGAAAGTCAAGTCAACAAAGGGTCCCTATCAAGATGATGAAGAGGGCAGTGAGATCTACATTTTTCTGAGAAGGTTGCTCCTAGAAGCTCAGCAAGCTTCACAGAGCACGTGCAATTCACAAGGACTGCATTTTGGAGATGTGAGGAAGTAAATCCTTTTTTGCCCATTATGATACCAACTACTTAATAAAGATCTCCTCTTTTAAACAGAGAGCCTAGTCTACACGTCAGCCTACATTCCCCAAAATTTCATCTAATGCCAGCATTAATGCTAAATCACCCACGGTAACACCAGAAGACAAAGCACTGGTAGATGCTTTGATCAGCACTAGGAAGAAATACCACCTCCACTGTCTTGTCCATAGCTGTGCTGCCACTATTTGAGCTGTGCCAGAAGCAGCAGCGATGAAAATTGTAGGGAAAAGCGGGTGTAAACAGACAGACCAGCTGTGTTCCGATTCTCCTGGGAGAGTGCAAGACTGCTGTAATGGAAAGCAAGTAGTAAATCCAAAAGAGCCAGTGCCTATGGCACTGTGTTTCCTGAGCTTGACCGGGGCCAGAACGCAGGAGGTGGTGGATTGTTCCCCAGGTAGAGCTGGTGTCCCATTCACCCTACTGGCCCTGGGTTAACACTGCATGGCTACAATTCACAATCCTGCAGAAGGTTTAGAATGGATTTTTTTTTTTTAATTTTTTTAAATTTTATTTTATTTTTGCATTCCACCTTGGTTTTCCAAATCTCTGTCCAGCTGCCAAATTCTGGAAAAGTGTTGCGAACTCCTTATTTCTAAGTCATCACTTCCCCACTCCCCCAAACTGTAATGGATAAACCATGGACACAGAAACTCCTGAACAGTTTAGCAAAGCTATCTCTGTCCCCTACGCCCCCTTTGCAGAATGCATAGTTTACAATTCACTTACAAAATAAAGAAGCGATGCTGACCACATATGGGACCTTTTTTTTTTTTTTTTTTTTGAAAAAAGAACAAACAACCTCTTCTTAAGTTCAGTATCAAAATTCACATTTGCATAATAATACATTTCAAGGCCATTAGAGAGGAATGAGAGCGAAGCAAAGAAAACTGCAGAGTCTCTCCTCTCTTTTGTCTTCCTGAATAGAGCTGAGGGATCCCACTGGAGTTTTTTATGGTGGGAATTATGAGGGGCTACAGCAACAGCTCTTGATCTCGTACACCTCATTTTGGATGGGATGAAGAGGTGAATTATCAGAAAATAACAAATGGAAGGAGACACTGCAGATTCCCATGTTTAGCTACAAACAGCTTCGAAGAAACAAAAGATTACTTCAATTTTTTTTTCCTTTTAAACACTTCTACCTCACCATTTCAAAAACTCTTTTTTCTTCTTGTGTAATACCCTGTTCATTTAAATGGCAACATTAAGTGTGCTGGAAGTTGACAGGTTGAAAAAAATAAATTTTCCTGTTTCTTTCATCAGGACACGGACAGAGAGGGTAAAAGTGTGCCTGCACCCACTAGTTAACAGAAGCTACAAAACATCAACTTCTCTACATGTATAGATTTGTCTCAAACATCACTGTGTTTCAATTCTCCAGTGCTTACAAAAAACATAAAGCCACACACGCTCACACTCATGCACACCAACATAAAGAGAAGCCACGTAAAACATACACAAACTCAACCTGCAACGGCAGACTAGCCTAGAACTACCAACAGCTTCTGTGCATCACACGACAGCCCTTCTCACCCCCCACCCCGATCTCTACCACATAAGAATACGTATTGTGCAGTGTAGAGACCAGCCCAAAGATGCTGCTTGCCCGAAGGGACCAGTAGGCTGGATTCTCAACATCTGACCTCTTGAAAGATTAAATTGACCATTGTCTCTCCTTCAGCCCAAGCAGTCTCCTCAGACAGTCACTATACTCACAAAGGCACATTCATAAATACCACATTTATCTTACTGCTTGTAAAAACATACAAGGAGGAAAACGTTAAGCGCTTATACCCCAACCCATCCCTACTGACCCAGCAAGAAGTATCACAATAACGTATCACTCGGTGAGACCTTACTCTACCTTTAGAAGGTACATATTAAAGAAGTCTTCCAACACCTCTTTTTAAGTTTTTGTGTTTTTTTTTTTGTTTGTTTTTTTTGTTTTTTGTTTTTTTTTGCATAAGTGAATGCTTTTTGTTTTTGGCTTACATATTTTGGAATACAGCACACTCACTATAAAGCTCTGTTGTAAGGCTACCCCCTAAAGTAAGGCTGTTCTACCTTGGCTTGCATTTTCACTTCATTTTGCTTCTTCTCCACACATCTCCAGAACAAAACAAAACAAAGCAAAACAAAACAACACACTCAATGCCTTGTATACAAAGGGTAAGCCATAACTGGCAGGGGGAGGGAGGGGAAAGAAAGCACATAATGTTATTACCATGTCACAAAAATTGCTTTTCTAGCAAGCTGTGCAACCTGCTTACTGCTCAACAGTAGATGGTGAAGAAAATGTTCACTTACGGTTGTGTGTCACCTGCAACAGGAAAAGCTTTGACTTTATCTCAGTTAGAAAAGAAAGTTGTTTTTTAAAACAAGGGGAAATGAGTTCTGGTGAATGCAACTACGCACACTAACACCCAAGAGGAGGGACTGAATGCTCAAGGAGACATCACTGCCTGCTTATATTGCCCATCCATGGCTAACTTCTCCAATCTTCTCTTCCCCTCTGTCCACAAACATCAAGAATGTTTACTGCAAAAATACTTAATGCTGGCTGGCACAATGCATTTTTTGCTTTGTTTTCCCACCCGAGTGCACCATATTCATATACAGAATCGATGAGAATCAATATCAGAGTCAAAAAACTCCTTCTCACACAACAAAGTCAGCAGGAGCCCTAACACTGCGGAATGCCACCAGTCCCAGCCGTCACACGTACAGAGTGAAAATGGTTCTTTGCCAAGGGCGTCTGATTTGCTAGAAACTTGCTTATATAGCACTGGGTCCTGGGAGATTTTTGGAGAGAAACTTTCCTGCATTGCTCAATGAAGACAAACACACAAACTGTGGATGGGAACAGATGCTCTCTGCTGTATGCCACTGATGAAGCTTTATCTATCTTGGCCTGACAACAGTGAAAAGAGGCTCCATTAGGAGCTGTGGTGCTTTTTTGTATCACAGATGAAATCTTTAATCAGTTTTCATATAAGGATTAAAAGCAAGAGTCACTGACACAAGTTTAAAAGTTCCACATATACCATGAAATAGACAGCTATATTTTAATGGGACCATGACTGAGATTTAACAGCAGTGCAGTCGGACCCTTGAATCCTACTGTGGACAAAGCTCTGTTTGGAGAGCCACTACAAGATGGACCTGGCTGTCTTCTATGATCCACTGCAGGGGAACTCTGGTAAAATTCAGCAACACTGGCGTTTACAGTGACGGACACTGAAGGGACACAAACAAATTGTGAGGGGCACAAACTAGCAAGACAACCAGTAATCTCCAGTTACACTACTGCCCCCTAGGCCAACCAACAGCTCTGCTCCAGCAACACTTAAGAGTTTGCATTTTAAGCCTAAATGTGAACTCAGCACAACAGGGAAGCAGGGTTTGTCAACACCAGGGAAGGTATACAGACTTTCCCGTTACTGCTAACATCCTTCTTCCGTGTTGAGAATCCCAGTACTGGTAAAGAAAAAGGAAGATAATTTGGGCTTTGACATCTGTATTCTGATCACAGCAGGACAGACTGATATGATCTAACAGAATCAGGCAACGAGGATTCTGACTCTGCAAAATTGTAGAAATAAAACTACAAAATTGAAATGGTATTTTGTGCAAAAATCAATTTAGTCACAGCAATGGATTCTGCATATGTTGTTTCAGATTCAGGACCAAAGTTGCATTTCAAGAGCATTTATTCTCTTTTAATTCCTTTCAACTTAATTTCCTTGCTATTACTTTCCTGCCCACAAATACATACATGCCTACTTACAGATAAGAAAGCTGCTCCTGCTGTAGGGGAACCTTTCCTCCTTAGAGACAGAAGAAACTACCTTTCACTCCATCAGGACTCGTACCCTGAGACACTAACCACCTACTGCAAAGAGAGTTACTGCATGTTAAGGTCACACGACTTACAGTGAATGTGATACGTGCAACACTGGTCTGTTGGCTGCTTTGGAAATGTAACAAGTCCACATCTGCTATCTGGACCCTGATCCAGCTGAAGTGTACTTACACAAAGAGCCCTTACTTGAGCAGTATGCACTCATTTAAGGTCAGTGGGACTAATTTATGTGACGATCACTCCTGATTTCCTGGATCAGACTTGGCCAGATGTGGGTATCTCAGAAACACACAGTACTCCTCTTAATGTCTACAGGAAAAACATACACATCAACAAATGTAGAAGCCTAAAAGGTAAACGTAACAAAGAATGAAGCAAAAGCAGGACCAAAAAGGGTCTTGTTTGGATGCGCTGTCAAGACACAAATAGTGGAAGATGTGGCAACATTTTTAGGAAGAAAAAATCTTAGAGAAAAAGTTCTAAGCACTGAATGTTTAGAAATCTGTGTCAGGGAAAAAAAAAAAAAAAGAAAAAAAAAGAAAAAAAAGAGCAGCCACCATAATATAAAGGTTCAGTTGTTATTTCATCTTTGACGCTGCTATCCCACACAGTTTACTGAAAATCTGTGTTTATATTGCAAAAGAAAAACACACACTTGCTCATCAGACATGCCATTTAACCTGAAGTAAAAAAAAAAAGCTTGTAAGAAAAACCTGACACTCTGCGACTGGGAAAAAGAAACAACAAAAACACTGAAAAATGTTGGGTAAAAGTCCAGGGAAGTACAAAAACAGTGGGAAAACTGGCAAGTCTTCCAATGTACATATTAAATCTGCTTTCCAAAATAAGCATCAGAGGTCTCAACACAGATTTCTGAGCTGCATCACTCCTCTTCATTTTTTATTGTTTTGCTTACTAGACTTTCTTATAGCTAAAAGGAAATTCTCAAACTCAGGAAGAACCAACAAACCTATTAAATAAGTCTCAGCTGGATGCACAGTGCTGGCTAAGGTAAGTCAAGTGGATTTAATAAATGGGTACTTGTTTAGAAGTCTGCTAAAATGTAGCACTGAAGGATTCAAAACAAAAAGGCAGGACATGTGAAACCACCTGCAAAGTACATACATATTTAAACTTTATGATCCCAATAATCAAAACCAGGAACAGAATGAAGAAGTGTTCTCTGTCGCTTGAAAGTAAAACTGATTTTTCATGCAGGACGTAGTAAGATGCTTTTCCCCAGCCCCTTTACTCTCTCTGTCAACAGTTTAAAGAAGATGCTGTCACCAATTCCTTCCCTAGAATGGTTGTAAAAGCCCCCAAATACTCTAACTTCTATTCCTGCTGTCTTTTTTACTGTTACAAGCCCAGATGGTAGCAGGGTATTTACAACATTTGAGCAACTGCCGTCCCTAGGAGATGAGTGTTGTTACCACAATGCTCAGAAATAGTTTGCAGTGGGGTTAGGAATGCCAGGACCGAGCCGTGCCAGCATCACGGTCAGCTATGCGTAATTCAGAGGAATGGAACTATCACCTGCGGCTGGAAAGCAGTAAGACTAACGTGGCTTTACTTGAACAACTTTGGAAAACTCACTGAGAAGACAGTCACTAACGTTTGCAGGCCTGTACCTTTAAGGAATGGAGGAGCAGACTGCTGTAAGACAGGAGGCTTGGACTCAGCTGATGGCAGAAGCTCCAGACTGCATCCCTCAGCACTCACGATTCAACTTCCAAATGACTGCCACACTCCCAGGCTCTATCTGACAAAGCCCAAGATTTCCTTTTTTTTTTTCTTCAGGACTCTGCCAATTTGAACAGCCTCTGGCCAAAAAACCCTCCAATTTTTCTCCTTAAAAATAATAATAATAAAAAAATCTTTAACGTCCTAAATGAACGTTCCTCTACTGGCCCATTATACAATTTTTTTCCCAAATTAGCTGATGCATTAGAGTCAACACACACATATACACTCGTATGTACACAGAGCACAACACAAAAACACCGGGCAACTGATATGAAAAGGACATTAATTTGGCATCTGACTTTTTTAAATAGTAAAAAGCTATCTTAACAACTACTGCTATGTAACTCATTGCATGACTGCATGCAATGACTCACTGCATGCTCTTTTTGCTCTAAGAACAGGTACATTTATTTCCATTAAGCCACCATACTGCCTCATCTCCCCTCCCTTCCCCTACTGTAGGGTGCATGTAGAAAGGCACTAGCGCGGTTTCTGTGGTGTGAGTCTCGCCATTTCAGGAGCAAACCCCTGACCCTCAGAGCTGGGGGGCAGAAGTCAGGCACCCCAGCACCAAGCTCTGAAGCTCAAGACTGTCCGCCCCGACAGCCAGCAGCAATAGGGTGAACAGAAGAGTTTACCAGCTATTCCCCGCATGTGAAACAACACAGAAAGACTGAAGGTGGGCTGAGGGTTAAGAAAAGCAAGCAGCAAATCTCCAACTGGGGGACAAAACTGACCAAAATAGCTGAAAATGGGAAAGTTGATTTCTAATGTACATTTCACTGCAGCTTTTTTTCATATTGCCTCCCTTTTTTCTGTACTGAGAAAGGCAGGCTAGAACTACTGCTTTCTTCGGCGTTCTGTCAGCACTGGTATTTAGCACTACTTAGAAGTGGCTTGAAGAAGCAACATCGTGTATTTCCTGCTGCTCCTCCTCACTGAGGACTCTTTCAGTTGAAACTATACTGCATTTTTGTTAGATTTACAGTTTCACTTTGCTTTTAAAAAGGTGCTTGAAGAATATTTTCGTTTCAAATCGAAAGGGAACATAGTAATAGATTTCCATTCTTACACTTCTTTTTTCCATGCAAATGCACACGAGTACCAAAGCACTACAACCCTTCTTCTCCCACAACTTCAGATCGTAATGGATTTCTGCTGCTGATACTGAGAAGTTCTCTTCATGTGTTTTAATTTACTCAGTCTTTACAATTCTTGACCCCCCCCCACCTGACAGTAACATTTGGAGATTTTTTTCATTTTTTTTTCTTTTTCTTTTTATTAATTTTTTTAGCTTTTTTTTATTTTAAAGTAAAAACTTTCAAACATTTTGAAGATTCAGGAACTTGTAAAAGTTTATCAACAAGAAACAGCCATCTATCTAGGATAAGGTTAAATAAACCATCTTCAAAAAACTGGCTTCCTACCCTAGAATTCCTGAGAATGCTTGCAAATTTAAAGCAGGAAAATAAAATGTTAAAATTAAAACAAAAACACTGTTAAATGCTCCCAGAGTTAGTCTTCATCTAAAATATATATATGCACTTTTTGGTCTTTTTTTTTTTTTTTTTTGTATGTTTTAATTTTTTTTTTTTCCCTTTAAGCTTACAATGGAAGAACAATTTAGCTTTTCTTTTTAAATATTTCAAATCCCTCATTACGTCTTGTAAACAAGAGGGGCTCTAGCACCCGGCTTTCACCGTAGTATCGCAATGAACTCAACTAACCCAAAGTGCAGGAAAAGGGACCGTAGGGCAGGCTGGGAGAGAGAAGTGAGGGCGGCACACAGCGATGAACCAGCGTGGAGAGCAAACCGCGGGGAGAAGGGGCACTGGCTGACTCGGGCCAAAGGTGCTTCGCTAGGAAGAACTGCTGGCACAAGGCTTTTAGGAACCTGCTCTGCCTGTGGGAGTGCAGCTGGGCTTCGAGCGGAGACCGTCAGAAACAAAGCTCTAAGGATGCGTGCACGCGAGGGGCACTAGGTAGCAGGAGCTGGAAGAGGAAATTTTCACTGTGCATGGTGGGATGAAGGAGATGTGATAGAAAAGTACATTCCAACGGAGCCAGAGTATGCTGCACACTCCAGTTTACTAAGCAAATACAAACCTACTCATACTTATTGTCACGTAACACTTTGTGTACAAATCTACAGGCATGTGTAAATGCAGCATTTCCCTCAGTCAGTCATCCTTGTGACACTGGGTTTACATAGAAAGGGCGAATTGAGAAAAGCCACAAAACTCCCCGGTCCTTCCCCCCCCTCCCAACCCACAGGCACACGCACCCAGACGCACACACACGCACCCCTACCCTACTTGAGTCTGCTTCTGCTTCTCCCCACCTATGCCCTGCTTTAATGTATTAGACACTGTTGGATCCTTCAATGAAAACGCTGGAGACTCTCCTATCCTCCCCCCGACAGGTAATAAAAACCGAGAACTGCTCCCGCTGAGGGTTGGAATGGACAGGTAGTTGCTGGTACTGAACGTCGGCACTTTGTTAGACAGCACGACGGCTAGACAACGCCACACGGATGCTAGCACTTACACGAAAAGTACCGGCATCTCTCTTCCCTCTTTTCCCAGCCTTCCTCCGAACGACTTCTGGCTTTGTGTAAAGAGATGCTCCTTCAAGGCTGCTACGGCTCTTCACAACAAGCAGTCTCGGAAGTTTGTTCCCAGCGCACACATGCACGCACACACTGGCTATCACTGTGGATTACATAGGTCACCCCTATCCTGCCCAGAGTACTACTTACACTGATGCTAAAAAAACCCCAAACCTTTCCTTAAATACAGAAAATTAAAAAGCAACAGTACAGAAAAAGTAAAAACAAAAAACAAAAAGGTGCAATACTTTAAAAAAAAAAAAAAGTCTTTGCTAGTTATATACCTCCCTAAGCAAAACCACGTACACAGGAAAAAACACAACACAGAGAAACAAAAGGAAACGTTTGAAGTACACACTGGTTTAAGAACATTCGTAAGTAAACGTTTCTGTCAGTGATGGTCTGGTGCTGTAATACACCAAGGCCTGGCACAGGTAACGCTCACCGTGAAGGACGCGGAAGGGAGTCAGCTGCATGTGCTTTCAGGGGATGAGGCAGGCCGGCCAGCGGTTTGCTGACACAATTTCACTTTTGTCAGTTTTAAAACAAGCAGTAAATCAATTGAAAGGCTAATTTGGTTGGGCTGGACTTTCAAGCTTTTGATGGATTCTTCAAGAATGAATGCGGGTGCTTACTTATGCTTTTGGGGGAGAAAAGAAACTTATCTTTTTGTTAGTTTTAAAGGTTCCGAAGCTTGCAAGAGAATAAGGACATTCTTCTTTGTCACCCCAAAAATGGCAATGTCTTCTTTCCTCCCCTTTTCCTCTCTTCAGAAGAAAAAAAAATGGCTTGCATTATATAACAAACATTCTAGGGTTCACTCCATACAAAAACCCCACATGCAGACATAAATAAATAAATACACTGCTACTCAAAAGACAACACTGGCTCCCCTCTCACCAAATCCTTTGGATATGGCAGTGTTCTGCTCTACCACAGGGTTAGAACAAGGGCTAGGAAGCAACTACCCATTCAGTATGATCTGCAAACTTGAGATAGCACCCTGCTAAAATGAATTTAAAAAAAACTGACAAATTTTAATCCAGCCCAACTGGATTCTGCTTCAGCCACAGGGACTCCACCATGCCTGTCTTGTTTTCAGAAGCAAGACACGCAGATGGCCAGCCAGCCCATAGACCATCAGCAATGCAGCGTTTCAAGATTATATATAGAGAGAAAAAATGCACACACACAAATATGTGCACACGCACTCACACAGAAACAAGCACACGTGGGCAGTTACATGTGCCAGAACACACTGGTACTTATCAACCAGCCAATCACAAAGTGATGGTTTTTTTGTTGTTGTTGTTTTTTTTCTTTTTTTTTTTTTTAATTTTTTTTTGTCTGTTTTTGTTTTTAAAGTGAGGCTCCGTCAAGTCTTCCCCTCCCCCCACCCCTTTTTTCTTTTGAATCCCACCCCTACCCCAACCCAACATGGTAGACCTAAGGACGGAAACACACCCAGTGCAAACAAAGTTAAAAAGCTATTTTTTCAGTATATATGTTTCTTAGCAACAACTTCCGTATAACATGAAAAAGTGAAAAACTAGAAACTAATTTTTTTAATTTTTTGTGTTTAAATTTAAATGGTATGTGTACTTGCTTCACATTGTCTTTCTAAGTTGGCGTTCATGATTCAAGTATTTCAAGAGTGATATGTTCTCTTTTTGGATTCATATTCCAAACGAAAAAACTGAAGTTATATAAGGGAGGCAACTATGTGCTCAGACAGTCTGTCAATGACCCACCTTTTTTTCTCTCTCCGTTTTCTTTTTTCCTTTTATAAATGTATTTATTGCAAGTTGAAAAAAAACGAAAAGGTCAAGTTAGTGCTGCTGCTGTTCCAAAAAAGGTCACGAGGTCAGAGTTGAAAGTTCTAAGTTCAGATTGAATCCGACCCTCCTCCCAGAAGGTCTCCAGGTAGTAAGGGAGCAGGGCTGCCCATTCTGTGTGGATCCTCTACGCTCGGGACCCCCCACAAGCTTGAAGAATAGTTTGGGGGCCCCCACAGCGAAGCGCCAGTGAGATCACCCCCACTGCTGCCGCCGCCACCACTGCTCCACTGCCCAAGCCCTGTTGACCCACCAAAGAGATTCAAAGCAGGTCCAACTGGATCTGTCTGGTTCTGTCCCGTCTCCAGGGATTGCCAGCCTGCCGCGGGTGCACTTGGGGTTGCTGCAGGTGTAGGGGGCTGAGCCTGTGTCAAAAAGCGACTAACCTCCTCATCTGTGGCAAACTCAGCCAGGATGGTAGTGTTTCCCAACACACACCTGGAAGATGTAAGGAAGAAAAAATAATTAGTCAAAGCTGGAACTGAAGGGAAGGGATTCAGAAGGTATGGAAGCAATGCTAGTTGGTGACAAAACCAAAGCAGAAATCAGCTGGCCAGAATAGAACGAGCACAGTAAATGTCTGCCATTCTCAACAGTGAAACTGACTCAAAACACAAGAACTTCCATTTTATAAAGGGCAAAAATCAAATACTCTATTGTTAACCTGCAACAAAAGCTTTCTGTATTTAAGCTAAAGACTTGAGTATAAATGCAAAGACAACAAAAGTACATATATGGCGTAGATAAAACGATACATGCATGTATGCTGCCATTCAAACAGAGCAAGAGAAGTTTAAAAAGCCCAGGAAGTTACTTTTGTCTCCAAACCTCTCACATTTTCAAAACATACTAGAGCCACTGTGAATTCAAAAAAGTTTAAGAACTGGAAAGTAAAGAACGGTAGCTTTTCAAAGGAGCTATTTCAGGTATATCTCAAAATAACAGCAGATTCCTGCACATTTGGGTGACACATGTAAGAATGATCTAAATTCATTCATGATCTTTCATAAGATAGCCCGAACTGTACAGCAATCTGCATGTTGGTCACAATTCCACCCTGCTATGTGCACCTCCGTGGTTCTGCATTTACCAGTCTGTGGCAGTACTTAAAACAAGATAAATGGAAGGCACCCTTGTTTCTCATCTTCTCCTACCGGTGAATGAAAGAAGCCCTTCAAAAATGCCCGAAACAAGCTTTTAAAGCACAATACTGGAGACACATTTTGTGTTTATGACTAGTCTAGCAGCAAACGAAGGACACTGGGATTTGCTTACATGTGCAGTGCAGTCTGGGCCTTGGCCGCCTCCTGTTTGGTGTTGTATCGGATGAGAGCGGTGCCCTGGGTCAGGTTCAGATGGAATGTCAGCAGTGGGCCATGCTGCATGCAGATCGTCCTCAAGGTTGAGCCATCGATCTGCAGAAGAACAGCCAAAATAGAAGAGACGTTGGCAACTACTTCACTACATAATTTTCTGTCTTATAGCCGCAGTCACTAGAAGATAATCTGCTCTCACAGAGCAAAACAGGTGGAAGCAATAGAAAGAAAGCAGAGGTAACAGGATTTAATTTTTAAAAAGCATCTTAGTATGCCTCAAGTTCTCGCAATTACAGTGATTACACTTCATGCAACAAGCTGGCTTATCTTTTCAGCTCATTTGTAGCTTGACTCATTTTCCCCTCCTTGCTTTCTCATTCTATCACTATCCTTACATCTGCAGGTTTTCCAGTGATTGTAGACAGGCTGTACTTCTCAGCATCTTCAGCCATTAGGACTGTGCCAGAAGAACTAGAATTTGTTAGTTTCCAGCACTGTGATGCCAGCAGCATTTAGATCAACCAGTATGTAAACAGTCTTTACAGAACTGGAATTCTCACCTCTACAATAAGGGGCCTTTTAATTTTTATTTTATTTTTTGTCTTTGTGTTTATGAAACAGTAAGTCATAGAAACAGTTTGCAGAACCCACCAACGTTCATTCCTCCTGACTGATGTTTTCACAGCAGTTGTTGCCTACATTCCTTCTTGCAGCATAACAGCTTCTTACCTCCAGGAATTGCTGTTCTCCAAAGTGTTCTGTACAGACAGATTCAGTTCCCTGTATGCCACAAGACAATGCACACACAAACGGGATCCGTATGTGCAAATACTTAAAGGAAGTGTGACTTCCTTCTTTCTCCTTTTTTCCCCTATTATACAATACAATTTCAAATGAAGGAAAAAAAAGTTTTATGTGGGTACAAATACGGGCCCAGTTAAAAAAAGAAACTGGAGATACTGCCTCTGAAGTCATGCTAATCTTTTACTTCCTCCTCTTCAATGTATCTGATCCATAATAAAAAGAGGATTTGCTAGAGAAGGTACAACTATAATCTGCTTTTCTATTGATTTGAATACCTTCAAAATACATTTCTACTCCATTAATATTGCTTTAGGAATCATTTAATCTAACTCGCATAAGGGCAGGGACTTAGAATTGTGCCTCTTCACAGTTTCCATTCCTACCATTTCATTCGCATAAAGGAAAACAATCCTTTCTATGAAGGAAGTTGTAGCTTGCTATTTGGGATGGTCCAAAAGAGACCTCAGTCTTTCATACTGATGCCTTCTTAAGCTCTACCAGAATTACCGTGCAGAACAGGGAACTAGGGTCTAAACCTTAGGGTACTGCTGATAATCACACAGGTTTTTCCTAAGCATTCAATACAAACTAAATGAGATCGACAAAACCACGATCCCCATAGAATTCATTTTGAAAGGAAGAGTGCTGAGAACACTTTTGTAGGGATAACCTATTTAGACTGTTTTTGGCAGGAGAGCTGGAAACACTGTGGTTTCAGAATGGAAGCACCAAAGTGAAAGCTAGCAGTTATACCGGCGTTCTTATATCCCAAAGAAACAGACTCTGCTGTCAACCATTCTACATTATGGTCATGCAACTTTTCTTCACTTCTAGGAAAAACAAACCTTTCTGTTCCATTACTTTCTTTGAATGCTAGGTAAGAAAAAGCTAAGTTAGTCATCCAGAAAACACTGAACATCTTGAAGTTAAATGAAAAGATGACTACAGGAAAACCAATTAGACTACAGCCCTGGTTAGTAGAAAAGCATCTCATGCACGCTGACAAACTTGATTCTGCTAGATTTTAATCACGAAGAGCCAAGTGAAGAGCCCACCAACAGCTATCTCAGCAAAGCAAACAAGCTCCCAGAGACAGTAACAGAAAATACCTGTGGAGTGAGATTGTGAAGAACCAGCCAGTAACTAGGACGAACTGAGCTACCACCATCACTCCAAGTAGATGCTGCAAACAGGAGAGAAAGGAATCAAGAAAAACCTTTGAAAAACCTTTTTCTTTACAGTCAGGTCTTTCGGTCTCAGACAAATTCAGCATTATTAGCCTAATAACATATGAGAGCTGAATATTTACTCCTGCCAAGAAAAAGCACATCTTTCTTCACATTTCACATCAGGATCCACTTTTTACCAGTTTACTTTCTAGCAGTCTCCCCTCATCAAATCTCTTTAAGTTCTGAAAGGCCCTATACAACAGAAATTCCTCTGTTGCAACTCTTAGCCCTCTCCACTAATCTCCTGCAGCAGGACCTAGGATTTTCCCCAGCCCCCCTTTCCCCCCATCCCAATCACTGACAGTTCATTTCCATTCCAACAACTTAAGGAACTTTTTTCCTTTTACCAGGCAACTGCAACTTTCTCTCCTCCAAACCATTAGTGCTGTAAAACACACACTCCTCAGGTCTGATCAATGGCGTTATCAGATGATTCTTCTCACCAGAGGCAAGCCTTGAGTCCTGTGCCCCCCAGCCCCTGACCGATCGGGGTGCTGTGCTGTTCCATGGAGATGATGGTTTGGGGTTGGTCAGGCCAGGAGGCGGGCGAGGCAGCCCTGTAGTGTTCCTTGAGGAAATATGGTTTTTCCACATCTTGTTGGAGAGATGAGTGGGATTGTGTCCTATGGGATCTGGGGACCATGTTGATTTGTAATCACTGAATTTTGCTGGAAGATTGAATAAACAATATGTATTAGAGAAACCTAATAAGATTCAACTAGCTTTCAACTACAGCATTACTGCAATTCTTTGCAATTTCAATCACAGACAAGCACATAGCACAAAACAAAAAATAATCTGCCATAGCAAAAAACCCCATGACATGTAGTTAATCTTGGCTTATTTTACACACGCTGACCCTTGCCCCCCCAGAAGAAAAAGATTATTGTCTGCGTTAATATAACTTACCACAGTATATTTAATCATTAACAACAGAAACATGAAACACCCACATTACACTACTACATTTCACTTGAGAAATCTGAGGATTTCCTGCACATTTGGGTGCTACTGATTTTAATATGTAAAACTGAACTTTCTCAAGGCCCCAGACTTGCAGAGAACCAAAATGACCATTTACTGCTCTTAGTCTACTAAGCTAATGCTACCTGCTAAAGATGTCACTCAATAAGATTACTGCTTTCTCACACAACAGAAATGTCATTACAGAGTGTGCACAATGACGACGCACAACGAAGGATGTTTAGCTATATCTCAACTGGACTTTAAAACCATCTTGACAGCATGCACTGAATTTATACTTGAAAATATTGCCAAGTACCTATTAGGAGAAGAATAATAGTGGGCATCCCTCACTCATTTAAAACAAAACAAACAAACAAACAAAAAAAAACCAAGTTAAAAGCTCCCCAAAACATCAGTGAATTATGGATATTTAAAAGCTCATCCCTACTGATTGTCCTTAGTAGAGCGTAACCTCTCCTATACCTCTTACATCAAGCGATATTTATCACTCAGTAAGAAGAAATAAATCTAAGTTGAAATTGCTTGAGTAATTTTCTTTTTCCTTGCTCTGTAAACAGAATCAGCAAACAGACAGAATATCTTAGGGGAAAAGGCTCTTGAGCCATATATTATCTTAATAGGAATTCATTTATATGTTTGCAAATTCATGTATTAATCTTCTTTTACTAACAAAAGGTAGTAAATCGTTCATTTGAAATAAGAGATTAAAATCTATGCCTACATGTCACAAAATAATACACTTGGGACTGACAACATTAAAACTTAGAGCAATAAGTAAAGGCACACTTTGCTTCACATTTGGATCAATGTATTTCAATGACAGTAACTGTCAACATACTGAGATTTCAAGCACTAACCCATAAAGGTACATAAAAGTCCTTAAAAACCAAGTTTGTTTTATAGATTTGTGAATTCTAAATCCTTAATTCAGATGATCTATTTTCCAGCTGTAGAACACCGGTGTGCAGTTTAACAAGACGTGGAAAAGAGAGGATTTATGGCAGGCACTGGGTGCACTGTCTTCAATTTAGCTATGACTTCAGTTTTTGGTTTGTTTTTTTTTTAACCTTTCTCTCTTCTTATGTGCTAGACAAAAGCAAGCAGATATGAGAAAGCTGATACATGTCATTCCTCCACTCAGGCTAAGAAGGAGAAACTGTTTCTGTAATTGGAATCCTGCATATATGTATACTGCTTCAAACCAACGTGATGCCACAAACTGGAAGCAGGAATACCCTTTCTTGAGAGGTAAGCAGCATTTTCAGTGTTTTGCAAGGATGGCGAGTTATCATATGAACACTGCTTTTATCCCAGAAGCCTGAAAAACAGTGTGGGACAGATGCAGCTCTCAGCTAAGCTCACCGCTTCTGCTATCCACACACAATTCTTCAGTGTTGAATAGCTGCCAAAGACAATAACGTCTCAAAAGAAAACTCCAGCATTTATAAGCAGCTCAAAATATGAATTATTTGTCTGAAACAATTATTTCCAGCTTCCTACTCAGAAGCGCGTGCTGAGGCCTTTCTTCACAAGACAGCTTTGGAGACTCTACTTACTGATGCAGACACTACTGTCTGCAGGCCAGCACTGAAAGATCCTTGCCTAAGCCTTTCAGTCCTTTGACTAAAAATTGGTTTCTCAGGGGAAATATGAGCACTACAGAAAGCAAGAAAAAAGTGTTCCCTTCACAGAACTTCAACACACCAAATTTAAGATGAATAAAATCACCTGCTTTATTACTCCCTATATTCCTTACCTCATGCACACATTACAATGGCTCCCCTAAGCTTTTACATATAAATGGATCACATTTGTATTGTTTTTTTTCTCTTATATCTACTGCCTACTGCTATCTTGTTTTTTAACTTGCATAATTATGAATGTTTTAGTGGGAGAAGGGTAGGTGAAGGGATTTTAATCTAGTTTCTAAAGCAACTACAACAGGTTATTTTATTATCACAAGGAAAATGATCTCATCAGCCTCTCACATCATTATTTCCAAATTTCATAAGGAAACTCTGAAAAGGGTATTTCAAGGTGGAACATGGAATAGGAAATAGTGAATAATTGGAAAATGCTCTGTCCAGGTAAATTTTGGAGCCTGCATACCTGAAGTGCTATGAACGTTGGTGAAGGAATTGTCAGAGGCACTGTAGGGCCAGGCACCAGGTGAAGGCAGCGAGGTGTTGAGGGAAGAATTAGACCCTATCAAAGGCAGAAAGAGAAAGAATGTGAAGAGTAGGCCAGTTGCAGAGTTAAATCTCAAGAAAGCCATGATTCATAACAATGTCAGCCTTGTACATGATACACAACTGTGGTACACAAGCACACAGGCTTCCTTCTCAGTCAAATGCAGACTTATCCTGTTACGACAGGAATATCAGACTATTCTCAAATATCAGACATAAATAATCAGATGCTGTTCACGTTTTACCTGTGGTGTTGTCCCGCAGAAGTTGGTGGTCAGTATCTACAATGGGAGATGTGGCTGTCCCCCCCAGCACACTTCCAGGGGTCACGTAGGGGTCAGATTCAGGGTCAATGTTTTGTATACCTTTCCATGGCACTCCTGGTTGGAACTCTGGGACAGGAGGAAAGAAGGAGTTAGATGCAATGAATAGTCTAGTAAATGCAATGCACTGTCTAGTAAAGACAATGGAATGTCTTTACTAGAGGTAACTGTGGAGGATATTTTAGGAGGACAATCTTCCACACTGTTCCTAAAAAAAAAATAAAAATTCAGATTTCTCTTAGTTAAAATTTAGTGTGTATTTCCTCCCTCAGGGCTATTTCTAGTGTGTGAATACAAGCCAATACTGCAAAAGTGCTGCAAGTGCACACAGAGCTCCTTTGACATTTTGTTCAGCTAAATTCAGATGAGGCTTCAGTAATTTTAACCTTCCTTAATACATTATATATCTGCTCAGATACTTTCTGTGCTTACAGTGTGAGCTTGTAGATGCAACCTTAGATGCTTTGCACTTTAGGTACACACACAGTTTATGCACCACCCAGTGGTACTGAAGTAATGCTAATGCGAGGTACCTTTCGATAAAAATGATATGTGCATAAGTTAACATTCTTCATACTTTGTACTGAAGACTGAACAAATATGCTTTAGCCTCTCAATTACACCTCCATGAATGTCAGATCTTTAAGACATTATGCAGAGTTATAGAGAGAATGTGAACAAAAAAATTCCATCAACTTTAAGAAAGATTAGTAACTTGGTTTCTGCTTTGAAGTAGACAGATATTCAATTAATAAAGTTCTGTGGGCAATTCTGGAAGCCATGGTAAGAAATGAATAATGCCAAATACAAAAACAGAAGCTTCATGAGTACCATGTAACAATTTGGAGACGTGTGAAGGAAGTGCCAGGTAACAGATTAATCACTTGCAGATACAAATGCAGAATATGGAATGATACCTTCATTCCTAACCTGAAGTTTTGAAATAACTGATAACAGAGGATCTGGGTGAAATGCAACAATATATACGGGAACCTGCCATGGAAAGTCTCATTTCAGATAATGCTAAAACAATGCAGCGTAGTCAAGACTACAACTTTGACAGACAAACAGAGAAGAAGATGTGATAGTGATGGTTCGAACAGTTGGAGTAACAGCATTAGGGCAGTATTAGATTATGATATTGCACTGTCAGGAGAATCTCAAGAGAAGACATAAGAAGTATCCTGATGGGTCAGAACTGTGACCCATCTATCCCAGTATTCTGCCTCTGTTGGTAGCAGTTAGGGACAAGAACATAAACCTGGCCACTATCAGCAAGCTACAGACATCACACTGTCTTAGCATTTCTATTAAGGATGCCAAAATGCCTACTCTCAGCTCACACTTGCTTGTGAACCCATTTTCCACCAGTTTTTCAACTAGCTAGAAATATCTATCTGTAGAAGCTCCAAAAGCAACACAGCAGTCCCCCGAAGGGAAGGATCACCTTATGCTTAAAGACCACTGAATGCAGATTCTCAGGTCTAGTCAAAAAGATTTTCTCTGTTCCAAGACAAAGAATCTATAAACAAAGGTTAGGATACAAAATGTCCCTCTACTCTGCTCTTGTAAGGCCCCACCTGGAATACTGCGTCCAACTGTGGAGCCCGCAGTACAAAAAAGACAGGGAGCTGTTGGAGAGGGTCCAGAGGAGAGCCACAAGGATGATCAGGGGGCTGGAGCACCTCCCTTATGAGGACAGGCTGAGGGAGCTGGGCTTGTTCAGCCTGGAGAAAAGAAGGCTGCGGGGTGACCTCATGGCAGCCTTTCAGTACCTAAAGGCAGCCTATGGAGGGGAGGGGAATCAACAGTATTTTGTACAGTATTACAAGTATACACAGTATTTTGTGATAGGCTGCTAGAAGAGTTTTCTGTGAACTTCAGCATACTGACAAATTTCCAAACTATCCTTCCGGAATGACAGTTATCTCATGGGCATCCATGAACAGTCCCCATAGCAAAACTCTCATATTTCTATATTGTAAAGAAAACATGAAGTACATTTCTCTGGATTGTATCTGAAACCATCTCCTGAACAGTTCAAGTATAGGATTATTAGAAAAACATCATCAAAACAAATATGCCTGGAGCACACAACTGTACAATTCCTCTATGAGGAAATTATAAAATAGTGTTATCTAGGTATGCAAGCTTGTGTGATGTAATCTAAAGACATTACTCTGATCAGCGCAGCAAAACTTGCTCTCATCTCCACCTGAGAGACCAGTTTGATCGGGCATGATTTCATTCATCTTAGTGCTGAACAAATACTGCTGTCCTGAACGGCAGAATTTTTGCAGTAGATGGCATTCAGTAAGAAAATATGAAAGCTGAGATCAGGGTAAAAGCTGAATGATCACTGCGTATTCACTCAAAGGAAACTCACATGCATTTCAAGAGGTTCCCTCCTGTAAACTCGTTTTTATTAACAACTTGTTTCTCAACACTGTGAAGAAAATTTCCATACCAGGATCTGACAGTGAGCCTCATCTGCAAGCCTAGACAGAAAAAGGACTCACGAGGTTACAATAACCTCGGAGCTTTATCCTTAATCAGGGCTGTTGATAAGGTAGATCATGATTATAGGTACTTTTTTCCTCTCAAGGAGGCCAAAAAAGCTAACAAAGCCATGAAACAGCTTAAATGGATGATGGTTATGGGACAGTAACATTTGTCCCAGTAGTCTATGGACCTCATGACAGTGGTAACAACAAAGTGACTAGTACCTAAAAGCCACATGACAAAGCCCTCAATATCTCCTACCTGAAGTCTACAATCACAGTCAAGAGCTACTAATTTACACAGGAGATGAGGGATGGTACTCATGATCCCAGTGACAGTTTACGTTCAGGATTCATGAACACCAGCTATCCTCTCTCAGTGTGAGGCAGTAAATAATAGCAAAAAGTTTACATATCACTGACAGCAGGACTGCAAGCATCACTAAGGAAGCTCAAAGTCACAGAACAGGGACAAAGAACAGCTATTCAGTGCCTTGCTTCTGTAACAGAATTCTGGTTCTAATAATCTTGTCAGAGCCAACAGTCGCTTCAAAACCCTGGAACACAGCAGAGTGGATACTCACATCCCTCTTCCAGTATCTCAAGCAGTGCTGTGTTTCTCAGGTGGTTTATATGGGAACCTTCTCAACCTGTGGGTTTTTTTTAAGTAACCAATGAGCCTAGGAGACAGGTCCTGAAAAGAATTAAGCCTTGGGGATTCCTGACATTATGAACATTAACTCCAGTTCAAGAAACCCCCTATGAGCAGCCAGGCTGACAGCAATGTAATGTAAATATACTGCTACAGAAAGCAGTCAGTGGTCTGAAAAGTTGTACATGTGCAGACACTGTTGAGGTAGCTAATTCTTTAACTGCATCACCTCATCAAAAAACATTTTCTTACCAGTTAGACACTGAAAGTTTCTCACATTAAAAGCTCTACCTACTTTTTGTAATCTTCTAGCTGTTTTGTATCAGTAGCACAGATTTCTAGGCTTTTTAATGCAAGGCCTGTACTACTGTTCACCACAAGATGTACCTGTACCTTTACTTCTTTGTGCTCGAGTGGGTACACAGCAAAGGATTAGCAGCAAGGAATGTTTACTTGGAATTTAAGACTTCTCCAGGCATAGAAAAAAATCAGTGCATCCTGCTACTTGCTGAACAATACTGGTGATTGATCCATATAACAACAGGGGCACCACTTTGGGTTTAACAACTCTTTTATGTAGATAATAATGTGTTTAAATACACACACACTTTTCTTAGATATTCTTGAGTTTTCTAGTGGGCAAAAAATTCTGCCAATGAAACTCTACAAGACTTAAAGAATATGCCAGTGCCTGTAAATCAACGAAACTTCTGCTCAATCCAAAAGACTGCTGAAAAGTACTGAAATACACTATCACCCTTCTATCCTTTACACAGCATAAACAAACACAACAAAAAATGAATCACAGTAAATAGCACAGCATATACATTTTACACCAATACTGCTGGCAAAAGAAGCCCTGCGCTCCACTGCAGATCATATTTATAAATAACTTCTGAAAGGGAAAGTTTGTGTACTGTCGAATAAAAAAAGCCAGGAGAGGAAAATCCTTTTCCCATTACCACAAGAAAGCAGTTTTTGTATCTTCTGCGTTCTGATTCCATACTACTATTAGAATTCTTAAATCCTGTGTCAGTGTAATAAAACACAAGTAAGGAATGAATATAAAAGGAAGGAGCTGGTATTATGCATTTTATGGACAAACGTTAGATGAAAATTTCCTTAAGTCACGGAACTGCGAGGGTTCAACTCATGGAAACAAAATACTAATCAGGCAACTCATCAGTTAGCTCATATTTATCAGTTAATCCATATTCAGCTCAGACATCTTTTTAACTGGAAATTCAACATTTATGTTTTAATACGCAGGACATTTTAAAAAAATGTGATAAGCCAACCAAGTACTTTCCTTACAGTGGTTACTGAGGAAAGATCCCAGCACATTTACTATAAAGGTGGGACGTAATCCCTGCCCTCATGTAATACCTGGAGGCCAGCTGGCGTTGCTGGATTTGCTTCCGATCTTGCTCGTCGGCGGAGATTTGGCAGGTAACCAACTATCACCAGCAGGGCCTGCATGGCCACCCAGCGGGTCGCCCTGAATTATGTCAAACTGGTTGTAGGGCGATCCTCCGCGAGCCTTTCCAGGGGGCACTATTGCACCTGAAGCATTAAAAAGACACGTTTACACACTGGAAAGGTAGGAGTCTTTATGAGAATATGGAATGCTAAAACCAGAAATAGTTAAGATGCACAGTAATGAGGTCAGATGTGAACTAGCTGGAAGCAGTTACACCTGAGCTATTTCACCTCTGGTGAGATGATACCGTAAGAGCACTCCCAATACAGCCAATCTCTCACCATTTTTGTGCATATTGGCATCTTGTGAAGCCACAGAGGGCAGCCCTTCCATCATAGTCCACTGTTTAAAGCGGGATTCTGTTCCAGCTTCTTTCCCTCCCACCATGCCATAATCCATGCTGCTTGAGCCAAAGCCTGTGAAACAAAACCAACAAGCCATTATCATTTGCTGCTTTTTTGTTTAAAAGTCCTCAAATGTGGAGGCCCTGCAATATAAATAAGGTAGAATTCAAGCATTAACAAATGGAATGTTTGAAAAGTAACATTACAATGAGCCTGTTAAGTCGGCATGCCACTTATGGTACACTGTGACATGCTGTCTGTAGTAAAAATTATGCAGTTTTACCAAGAGCTCACATTTCTTGTAACCTTTGCTCTAGTGATTACATATAAATTACTCATTCCATGGGAGCACTTACCTGAACCGTATCCAGGTATTTGTCCTTTGCTCTGTAAATCTGAAAGACCTACATTCAAAGGATTGGGTACCATGCTGTCTATATGTGGCTTAGGCCCAACAGGGTGGGATGGTGAATGCTTCATGCCAGGCTGCCTCTGCTGCTGCTGCTGGAGGGCACTCACCATACGAGCAATCTGCAAAAACATACAAAAACAGGGATGGTACTGAAGAAACAATCTGAAAAAGATTCAAAGGCCTGTGATCTCTGACACGTACAGTGTTAGTACACTTCATGCTTTCACATGACTGACAGAAACAGTGCCCCACCTGTTGCTCCTGCTGCTGTCGCACAGCTTGAGATAACTTCCTCTGGCTCTGTAACAGCTGCTGCTGCTGCTGCTGCTGAAGGAGGAGCTGACACGCCTGCAAGACAAGTGGGGGGTGGGAAGGGTGAAAATTCAAAGCACTTGAAGGGAAATCTAACTGCCAGGAGCTGACCACCAGCCAACGCTTAACTCAGAACTCAGGCAGAGGCAAATCATTCCTCATCCCTCACAATGAAATAAAATTAACAACAAAAGCTTTACAAAAATATTATCTCTTTTAACTGTTTCTAACTTTATATCATGCAAGAGCATGGGCAGTACTCCCTTTATTGCTGCCACTGAGACTACAAGTCTGAAGAAAATTTCATAAAAAAAAAATCAGCCAACTGCTTTCAATATACAAAGACATGGCTCAGAATCATTACCAACCCATGACAACGGACCCAATAATAACAGGGCTGCTCAGATTATCTGCTGGCCTCTAAGAGGGCTCTATTTTCACATACAACGAGCAGGAAATACTTGTACAAAAAAATCACAGCATCAGTAGAACAAAACAGAATCAGAATCGATGTAAAAAGAAAACTCAGCAGACAATTTGCAAACAGTCTGTTTCACAAGATAATTAGCTACTTACCAATTGAAACTGGGGAATCTGTGGAAGCTGGCTCAGCATGGCAATCTGTTGCGGAGAAAGCTGGGGCCCCACATTGAAAAGACCTGGATTCAAGCCACTGTTGGGGAACTGTTTGAGCATGGAGGCCGAAACCTGCATGGAAACCAATTAGATATCCTCAAGAAATACACTGCTACAGGATAAGACAATGAAATGGAAGTATCTATACAGAAGAATAGATAGGACACCAATTTTAAATGGTGTTTGGAGAAAGACATTACAGATTTCTTAACACATGACATTTAAACATGCACAGTCTATGGCTTGAGCAGAGTGAATCTCACTCAATTGACAATATACAATATTACATGTGCAGATGCAGACACACACACACACACACACACACAAAGGTTCCTCCCCCAACCAATTAGTTACTAGAGACTACAGTAGAGTAAAATCCTGATACGTACGCAGCTAACCAGTAATCACAGTACTGCATTATCACATTAAAAACGTACTGCTTGACAAGGAAAAAGAAAGGCATTCAGGCAGTCACTGTAGCAAAGAAACAGTGCCTCACAGAAAGAGTTAATTTCTGTGTATGCTGAATAAGCTATAGTAAAAGACAGGAGTTGGTGGAGAAGAATCCCCCTATTTCTTCCTGCATATTTGAGCTACACAGGTACTCAAGATAATCTCCAAAAGTATTCACCAAGTGCAAAGAAAAGCTGAACTTGTGCGGTTTGAGAGCCTCAAGTCTTCAATAAGAGTTCTGCAATGTAACTGAAACACAAAGCTTGAGACAAACCTGCTTGAAAAAAATTAAGCAGTTTGTCACACTTCAGAGAACTTTTTATTCTTTCTCTTGAGTTTGACTTTTGAATACTTCCCAAAACTCTATGCAAGACACAGGATTTCTGAATTCACCCTGAGTTTTATAATACTGGTAGAGAGTGCTTACAACCCACTGCCTTGAAATGACAGAAGGCTAATTCTTCTGCAGAATTTCATCTCTCAATGAATATAAAATTCACAGTTGAAAGTGGTTAAAACTTTTATCTACGTTTTCTGTTTCTTAACATCAAGACTATGACAATCTCAATGATGTGCACTGAAGGCTGTAGCTCCTTCCTTTGCTTTCTTTTTTCTTTTCTTTACAAGTAACCAGTTACTTTAAATTCCTTACCTGGGGAGAAAGAAATTGGGGAGGCACTTGCGCCCGGATATTGGGGGAAGGATTTAGTGGCTGCACTGGTGTGTGCATGCCCCTCGATTGTGCTGTGCTGTTTCCAAACAAACCATGATTGCCACCCTATAAAATTAAAGCAGTAGTGAGAAGAATTCTTCAGAATAATGGGTATCTATGCTACTAGCTATTTATAAATAATGAGGCAAGTACTGACTTCAACAGAGTATTGTTTGAACTACTGAAATGTCTGCCCTAAATCAGTAGTGCTGCACCTGCATGAAGACCGCCGTACTACATTTTCAAGATGCAGGCTCTTTCTCTTCTACATTGAACAGTCATGTTCGTGTATTTCAAAGCACATGACTAAGTTTGTGTTTTGTATTTCGCATGTAACATGTTAGGAAACAGAAACCAAGTACAAAGAACAAGCTCAAAAAACATTCCACTAGCTTAGAAGTATGGGAAGACTGTCAGTGAGAATTTTGGGCCACTGTTTCAGAAAAGTGAGGTATTTTATCACACTAGGCTGTCATCACTCAAGTCTGTTACTTTCGCTGAGGGCTTTCCACTAACAAATCAGAACTCAGCATTGTCATGAAAAATTTCCCTGTGATGTGAAATATTCAGCATTCTGGATTGAGAATTTTTTGTTTTCCTATTTTTCCCTCTTATTAAAGAATAAGGTGAAGAGTAGATAAACTCTCAAATAAGAAAAAAAACCTCTCCTAGTGATTTTTTTCCTTAAGTAGAAAGAACACTTGCTGTTTCTTTAGATTTTTTTAATGAGAACAGTTTCGTCTTTTTAAAGGAACTTCTGTAGCAGTAAATCCTACTGCACAGAAAGACCAAGAGAACTTGTGATTATGTTCCATTATTTCAGACTCCAAGCACTTTTTCTAACATCTTTCAACAAAAAGCCACAGGAGATGTTATGGACAGTCTCCTACATGTGCAGCTGTGCATGTTGTTTCTAAAAACAGAAGCCAACACACTTCTCCCCTGTACTCTAAAAGTCCTTACATGCCATGATCCTGTCCTTTCTTCTCCAAGACCTTCAGCAACTCTCCTTCTCCACTGTATACAAGAATCCCTTGATCCATACCTGCTTCTGTCATACACTGTGGCTTCTAAACAGTACTTTTTAAACCCTCAGCCATCGTTCTGTTCTCTCTCCATACCAACATCACTGTATCCAATGTAAGTTCATCTTTCTTCAAACTGAAGTCTTGGAGGTCTTCTCCAAAACCCTTCCTTCCCCCGTATGTCAGAATTTCATAAGTTTTGCCCCCCTTCAGCTGGAATGCTGTGCATTCTCCACTATCCTTTTGCTAAAACACAAGTCTCTCATTCTAATTCTGTCCTGGTACACTGTGGATCGCCTCATCCACCTGCACTGCATCTTCTCAATACATCTCCTCTTTCAGAAGCAGCTCAGCATGCCGTACTGAGCGTGCAGCAGGAGGATAGACAAAAAAGAAAAAAATCCCAAGAGACAGAGACGCCTGTATTCTGGAAAAATCTCACTGGGATCAACTGCGCATCAAATTTTTTGAGAAGCTTGGAGCTGCTGCTACACTTTCAGCTTTCTCTAAAGCTCAGTGGAGTTCCAGACACTGAATTTGAGAACATGTCTACAAATTCTGGATTTAATCTGATGTTCAACACTGCATCACATAGAAACAGAGAGACGACACACAGAAACACCATCATGTCAGGCACATGACTATATAAGCTAGTCCAGTTGTAATACTCAGTTCTATTCTTTATTTCCTAGCATTCCTGCAATGTTTTCTCCTTGTACAATGCAAAACACAGCATCAAGGAATTGTCCCAACTATAACCAACCACTCCATTTCTTCCCTGCCATTTCTCCACGCACAGAACAAAACCACTGCTACTTCAATCATTTTTAAACGCTGCTAAAATCAGTCCTTTCTACGCTCTGCAGGGAAGGGAGGAAGGAACAGGCACTATGCAAAAGGACTGCAACATTTTAAAAGAAAATTTCTACACATGAGGTTATTGGGCAGTCTGGAAAAATTCAGTGTGGGAGGCTGGTGGGGCAAATCAACAGCCTCTAAATAGATTTTAAAACATCAACACGTGGTTCTTCACTAACTAACTTCACGACTTCTGAAAAATAAATCTGTCTGCTGCTGCACTGCGATTCAGTAAGTAAGAGGCCAACAAAACCAGAAAGAATACATTTTGATGACAGGAACCAAAGTGGGTGGTTTGATATAACTGAAATTTGTTATTTGTTTATTTGGTAGGAGAACAAGTGCAAGCAACCAACTAACCAGGATTAAGCCCAGGTTGCAGCCATATTAACAACGCATCTTATAAGGTGGCCTGCTTACTTGTCTAGCAGCGTAGTTTTGGGGACTGAGCCCTGAGCCGATTGCTCCAAGGCCGACGTTGGATAGTGTGGAACCAGAGGGAGACAGCTTGTAGCTGGGAGAAGGGGAGAAGGGAGAGCAGGGAGCCTCATCCCCAAGGCACCCATCTTGATTGGAGAAAGGCAAAGTCAGCTGAAGCCAACAGCAGGAGTTGGTTAGTGAAGCAATAGAATGCAAGAGGAGAAAAAGAGGGACGGTGAGTGACTAGGAAGAAGCAAAGTTAATTTGTAATAGCAATTACACGGACAAAAGTTCAGACTCAAACGACCACTTAACAATCACAATTCTGGTCCAAGGAGATGATCAATAAATCCCTAGAAGTTTTCTTCTAAGAAAAACATTTTGAGATGTCTGTTGCACTAATGGCTGCTACCACTACGGAAACAAACACATCTTCAGTTAACTCCCAATATTAGCATATACCTATGAACATAAACTGTTTGGAAAGCGTAAGGTTTGCTAGTGGTATTTATTAAATGGGCCACCAGAGGGAGTTGACAAAACTGTTTTTGGCCTGTTATACCAAAATGGAGGAGTTTAAAAAAAAAAAAAACCAAAAACTCAGACATTAACACACCTACAGAATTTTTACATATTTTTTCCCACTTTACATATTATAAAATGTATTTAAAAAAACACAACAACAAACATTCTGAATCTATTGGACAATCTCCAATTCATAATGTGAAACAATTAATATTTGGTAACAACAGTGAAAGCTTCTACTTAAAACGGGCAAGAATATGAAAGAAACGCTAACGTAACATACAACAGATGTCACAGAGAAACAGATGTCATACAGAAGCTCACAGCACACAGACATACAGAAAAAAGGCTTGCAGAATTTAGAAGGGTTGTTTCCAATGCATCACAGATATCAAAGCAGAAAAAAAACGTGGAAGACTGTGATTACTTATGTTTACTTAGATCTAAAACCAATCTTTTTTACAGTAGATAACTGTAGTCAGTAACCAAAAGAATCACTGTGATGAAACCTGTAATGAATTTCATTACTACCAGTAATTTACCCTTCCAAGAAAAACAAAAGAATTCCTTCCTGATCATTTTTAAAAAAAAGTCTATTCTAAAATAAAAAGCATCTTTCTACCTAGATAATTTAGCTTGTTTGTACATACCTGACTCCTCTGTTTTATAAACACATCCATTCTACAAACATAACTCCCTCACACCTTTTATTGTTGAGTTCATCCATGGTGACCGGATCTTTAGTGCTTCCAGAGGAGTAGGATTAAAACTATTACCTCAAATACTGATTTTAATTTATCTAAAGATATTTCTCTCACCTTCTCAAAATAAGGCCCACTATCTGTGGTTCCCATGTCTTTGGAATTAGGTGGACGGAACCCAGATCGATCCTTTCTCATTATGTCATTAAAATCCCCGAGATTCATGGCTCGTTTATCTACCTCAAACTTCTTATCTGGGAGACCACCTGCAGAAAAGAACAAAGAAAGCATAATTAGTGCCAATCATATCCAATGCCTTGCATAACATCAGGTTCACGGCCAAAGAAAAAGTCTGTAAGATCAGATTTGTCTTATTTACATCTTGTATAAATCAGATTTATCTTCTAATTTAGTACAGCAAACAGTTCTCACCAAAGGATGCTGAAAAAATAAAGGAGGAAGTTTTAAGACTGAACAAACCAATTCAGGGAAGTATGAATAATTTGGTCAAAATTCTCCTGCAGTAATGTGAACTCAATCCTTGAACAACAACAATCTACTGGTCTACCATAACTTCCCTGCACCAAGTAATCAATCTCTCTCAGCCTGTAGCAATTATACAACCTGAAAGAGATGCTTTTCAAACAACTTCAAGTCTCCTGACATTGTTTACTGAGTAATGCAGTGAAGCATGAGAAAGAGATGTTAATAACAGATGAGGAAACTACCACTCGCAGTGGACAAGACATCTTTCTTTACAAGTATATCATCAGCCAAGTCCTGACCAAAGGAAGTTGCTGCCTTACATGCAACGCGGTCAAAGAACAATTCTTTCTGTCATACTTGGCACTTGGATCAGATGAGCAGTGTTATGCTGAAGTAAATGGAAAACATATTAATTTCAAAATCTAAGCAAAGTGGTAGAACCAAGCTTTATTTGTATTTTCGGTTTTAAATAATTGTGTTTAGTAGAACAGATGGCCTTTACAAGAATAGTTCAAAAAGCCTGTCACCATATTTAGCCAAAACTTCTGACTTTAATAAAGGAACTTGGTGATGGATATGTTATCCTACCACTGACAAACGCTGAAGTCTTTATTATACACAGCAGACAACTAATGATTGTAAAATCCTGGAAATACTTACCTTCTCAAAAAAGATTCTCAAAGGCAGTATCTCCTGTTAATGTCCTATTGCACACTGTTAATATTTATAGGTCTCCTACTGCCAAGGACCTATGAAATCAACCACTAATTACATGGGTTTTTGTTTTCAGTACAGCCTTGAGAGTTGATCCAGCTTCATCTTCTCAGATGACTTCAACATCATTTATCACAAGAACAGTGACCTATCACCTCTGCAATTAGCAAGAACACTTAGGCACAAGCAAATATCATCGACATGAAGAACTGTCGAACAGGTTAAATGTTTTATCATCTTTGTAAAAGAAGACACTTCAGCAGATTTTTTCTCCTCACTGCTAACAGCTCTAAGAGACACTGTGAGAACCAGAAGATGAAACAAGAGCTTGAAAGATCAATTTCCATGCCTGATGAAGAAAAGAAGGTATTAAGAATACCTTTCTCACCACATGCACTCAGCATAAAGGAAAAAAAAATCCATAAGTATATACATACAAGTATCAATATGGTAAAAAAAAAAAAAAAGTACAACCAGTGTGGCAAAAGTAATACTGAAAAAAAAAATGTTTGCAATATGTTTTCTAATTGACCACAAAAACTAAAACATCAGAAAGACACTGGTTTTATATTTTTGCCATTAAGTCACAATATCCATGACTACTCAGCAACCATATTGAATTGTTACACTCTGGTTACAGCTTTGTTACGTATCTACAGTTGTATACAGTATGAACTGCATTTGAATCAAGAGTAATGGAAATGAATTTCCCAGTTTTTACAGATGAGTTGAGAATTTCATGATCTACAGAGGTTGCTTCTAATATACTAAAGAAAGAAGACAGAAGTGGCTGTCAAACAGAATGAGAAGTTAAAATACTAAGTGGTCCTGACAAGCTACTTACTGTAGTATCAAACGTCACATCTCAGGACTTTTGTCAGTAGATAAAAGCTGCATCCTATTTCCTATTTCCAAAGTTCAACAAGCTGCCTGTTGAAGAGATCTGATAACAAACAAACAGGCAAGTAAATCTGCCTCAGGCATTCTACTGATCCATTTCTTTTCTCTCTTGGACAGTACAGTACCTTGCAACCAAAGCAACATATTTTTCAAACAAGACTGAGACCCACATAGTAAGAATTACTATGGCAATTACTATGACAACTGGACCTATTTTAAGAGGCGTGATGATCAGAGCCAAGTTACTCTGTGCATACAAAAGCCTACGTTTTCTTTGATACACGTGGTCTCCAAGCGCAGATTTAATGGAGTTCAATGCATATTTATCCACGAACTGGGAAAATACTGAGCTGGAGCTATCTGGCTACTAAAGCTTGGCATGTTGTAAACATGACCAAAATCCAGTTGAAGAACAAGACTACTTGATAACAAAGTCCAGCCTTTGAGGTTTAGATGTAATTATAAGCTGAGCAAACAGCTTATACTGTTCACAAGCAACATAAGCAAAAAAGATCAGAACTTCCAAGCAGAGAATAAAGTAACACAAAAGCTGTAGAAAAGTCTCAGTTACATTCTTATTCTTTGAAATAGAATACAAACTATAACAAACACATGTATCTAGGATCAGAGATGTTGCCATTAACGGACATGTTAAAGAATAGATGTGCAACACATCAAGATAATGCAACCTTTCTGCAGCATTCTCACTGAATATTCTGAGTGTCTAAGGCTCTTCCTCACAAGGTCTGATAGCTTTAAGATCCTCGAGAGCAGAAAGTTTCAAGGATCCAAATTAATTTGGAGACAAGGAATAAAAAGAACTATAATCAGCGTAAGTCAGGCTACTTAGAGAAATGTGACACAAGCAGAGTCTGAATGCAGAGGCCAAAGAGGATAGAAAAAAAGTTCTGCTATTTTCCCCATAACTATAAATTACTATAAAAAGATAAGGAGTCCTTAATTGTTAACAGGAAGAAAGAATTTGTGGAAAAAGGAACTTTCCTTTCATCTTCCATACGGTGTGATGCAGCAGAAAAACATCTCTTTTAAGAAAGCAATATTTTTTAAGCCAAGAGATACTGAAAATCTTCAGATTGCATTAAAATACTAAAACTGGAGCTGATACCAAACGTACGATTATTGCAAATCTACAACTTCACTACCAATGAAGATTAAAGCATGATCCAAACGATCAGTCTTTTTTGGTTGAGAAAAATCCCAATTCCATTGCAAGATGCGATGCCTACAGCTGTGGCTGATGCTGTTGACAGCTCTGGTGCAAAGAGGGTCAGCATCAGACCAGATGCCTTCCCACTGCCACTGATCCACATATACAAAATTTAAACTACTTCACTCATTTGACTTTAACTGGACGAGGTCTGTCTTTGCAAGCAAGGACATAAGGCAACTTTCCTGCTTCTGTAGATTCCGTAGACTGAACACAGGAAGGAGACCTTCTTCCTGTTTCTAAGTACCTAAGACTGTGCTGTTTATGTTTTTATCTTTACTGAGTCTCCAAAGGACTCAATAAAAAAGAAAAAAAGAAACTCTAAAATTGGACCATTTCTTTTAATATATGCTCTAAGGATCTTGCAGGGAAACAACTCAAACGGCAGAAGAGTTCAGAAATGTGTGGTATTTCTACCACAATACAATGTCAGCGACTATTCAGAAACAATCTGAAAAAAAACAAAATGTAAAACCAAACTTGATTTCAAGAACAAAAAAATTCTGACAGTTTACTTTGCAGACAGTCTGCCCAAGAAAAAAGTCGTGGCAAATTCCAAGGTGATTAAATAGGATTAGGTAATACAGTTAATCCAAGTGGTCAAATTCAACTTCTCATTTAGGTTCACGCTTTCCCCTTGCTCCACTCCACTTAAGCAGTGCAGGATTTGCGGTGAGGTTATCTATAGGGAAAAATCTGGTTCTACTGAGCAAATAATTCATAATAACCTGAGGCAAGCAACTGAAGAAATCACCAGAGATAGTCTTAACTTGCATCACCTCCAGGGACCTAAGCTAATTGGAATGTCCTACTGTCAAGAGCAACAGGAAAGAAAGACCCTCACTTTCTTGATATTGACCATGAACATGAACTGCATAAATCAATACAGTCTCTTAGGATGCCCCTTCCCCAGGTTACAGTTGTGTTCTATACAGGTATACATCCCAACGTTGCATTCTAGCACTGGCTGTGTAAGTATTCAAAGCTTGCAGCGAAGATATTAGATGGCATCTATGACCATGCCCCTCTCTCATGGGGAGTGCTAAAAAATAAGGATCAAACCTTTTCAAAGGACAGCATATCATCTACATGAAAATACTACATGTGGTCTCATATTTCAATTAAATTAAATTATACATACCTACAGACAAGTCCATCTTATTGCCTGGAATGTCCTCAGTTTGACTCTGGAAGAAAAAAGAAAGTCAGTTCTGACTTCTTTGAAATGCTGAGGGATGTTTCTGAAAGGAGCCCTTGATGGTTAAAGGTGTAATGAAGGAAAAACATGTTTGTGCCAACTGCAGTTCCATTCTAAACTATAATTTAGCACACAAAAACTCCTGATTTCAGTTTGGGCACACCTCATCCCAGCCCCTCAGCTCTGTATGTGGCGAGTTTACAGAAATGAAACCAGACACACAACACAAGAAACAGACAGAGAAAGATGGATAGACAGCTGCTCTGTGAAATGAACCTCTGTCCTCATGTTCCAGTGGTCAAGGGAAGAAACACTGAAAATAGCGGCCAAAATGATAGCTCATCCCCATGACCCGTCCAGTCATCAAATCTTGAAATGCACTGCCAAGTTACTCTTCAGTTGGCAGTCTGGGACAGTGTGTTCCCATAGCTTTCAGAAGCATCTACGGTCCAGCAGACTCAGTTTGAGCCTTGCAGCCAAAAGTTTGTACAAACTAATCCTCACCCTCTTAGTGACAGTTTGTGCAGCCCTGGCTTCTCACACAGTCTCTACATTATGATCTTTTGCTAGCAAGTATTATTGCTCCTGCATCAGAGTATTACAGGTGGTGCAATAGTCGGTAAAATATTTGACACAGGGACCACATCAGTTCCTCAGCATTTCTGTGTGTTGGTATTTTTATAATATACTACTTTGTAGATTGGTCTTTTCTCCCCGTGACATCCCTCACCTTTCTAATTCATCCTTAAATACCATTTAATATTGAGCTCTTTCTGTCCTAAAAACAGACCCTGCTGCACATTACTTAGTAAGAATAATTAAGACACAGCGTTGTAACTCTGCTTCTCTGGGAAATGACTGAGCTTCAGAAAGCTGAAGAGCCCTGGAAAATCATAGACGTCTGATGATGTAACCATGAGGCCTCTATCTGGAGTGTTCTGAACAGCACTTTATGAAAAGCCACCAGTTACAACTGTCATAAAGCAGCTTTAAAGTGTGTAAGTTTGTGGGTGCTTTTCTTATTTTTTTATTTTCAAGGAACCATTCTTACTAGCAAGAAGTTCTGGATACCCAGCTACTACTGATATTAGAGCTACATGCCTACAAAGCAAATGCAGGGTAAAAAGTAACACGCTTGAAAGTGAGCCATCATCTCACTGATTTAAAACTTACAGCTTTTTTACAAATTGTGTATTAAATTTATAAAAATTCACTTACTAGCAAGCCCATATTTGAAAACTGTTTGGATATGGGGTTCATCCATGAATCACTATTTCCTCCTTTTAATGAGCACTAAAAAGAGAAAAAAAACCAGACATTTTTAAACATCTTTTCCATTCCTTAAATTCTGTTTTATCCCTGCGATGCGAAGTGTTGAATGAAAATCCTAATATCTGAGAAATTTATCTCTGTAACAAACAGCTTTACATTTTTTGCGCAGCTGGAAATGTTTACAAAATACTTTTTCTTTTTCCTTATAGAATTGCACACTTCCAGGTATACTGAAGCAGATGAATACTTGCTGTTTAATACATTCTTTAATCCATCACAAAGATCTTTCCTTGGCTTTCTTCCCATCACTATGGGCTCTCTTTCATGGGCACTGTGCTGACCTGGCCTTACTGCAACATGCAGATAATCAAAGTCAAAACTGAAACAGTCAGAAATCAAATTGATTTTAAAAAACAAACAAAAACCAAAAAACCTGCACAGTTCCTTTGGAGGTTAAAAAAAAAAAAACAACCGTTAAGTGAGAAAAAAATTCATGAGAATAGTTATTCCAAAATAGGAATTGTAAAAGCCCAAACCATCCCACAAGAGTATTTCCTTGTCCTTGGAAATTGCTTTGCTCTCACCTTTTAAGTCTGCCCTGAATATCTGATTAGAAGCAGAGAAAGCTCAGTCCTTCTAGTATTAATACAACATCAAATGTTACTGTTATAGAGAACTTTAACATGTATACAAGCCTTAGAAAGCAATTCATTTAGGACTGTAGCCGAGATCCTAGTCAAGGCTGAAATTTAACAACAACAAACACAAGTCAGACCCAAATCCAAGCAGAAACTGGAGCCATGTAGAAACTGGAGGGCATGTGCCAAAGGGCCTGTGGATTCTGAACTCCAGCAGGCTATGCAAGCAGAACAGCAGCAGTTTAACAGATGTGCCAAGAACAGATGAGCAACAGTCCTGAGATACTAACCGCTCAGTTTCATTTAGCAATGGCTCTGCAGCCTTCATAGCAAGAGAATATGACACTTTTTGGCAGACCTATTAGTCACAACAGGTGTAACACATTAGAACAAATCCAAAAACCTTGTATTTTTAATGCTGCTCTACCAGGCACCTTTCTAGCTGAATTCTGTATAACACCTCTTAAAAGAATAATTATTAGAAATGCTCTAACACATCAGTCACACTGCTTTCAGACAACACTGTAGTTATGAATCATTCGAGTGTTTTACCTTTATCTGTGTTTTCTTTCCTCCTTGCCCCCAGCTTGTTGAGTTGTGGGAGGAACTGCTTCCCTGAGAGCCTGCTGTGTTCCAGACTCCTCCCTCCTCCTCCTCTTCCCAGCTGGAATGACGCGTGCCTGTTACTGGCCCATCACTCTCTCCCCAGCCATCTTGCATAGATTTAGAACCTTGAGAAGAAGAAAGAGAAGCTCAAAAACAAGCCCACAATACCATGCAGCAGGTGACTAGATGCTGCATTAGCTGAAAATGTCAGAACTGCAAAAAGTGAAAAACAAAAGTGTATTCGCTCCAACAGCAGTAAAAACTTGTGTATGAACTCCACAATCCAAGAGATCTGGTGGCATGTTAGTATGTCTTATTTTGCAAGAATTCTCAAGCAACATCAAATCCTTAGAAGAAATAATGATCAACACAAACTTCTCTCTTGCAACTACTGCTGCATTTGGATTCTTTAAAAGACAACCGATCACTTTCTTATGTAAATGAAAGACTCCAAAGACACTTAAGAAAAAAAATCCAAAGGGTGCTGAGGACTCTGGCTCCTGATTTGTGAATAATTTCCTGCCTTCCTTTAAAACTGTACCACATATCCACCACGCTGAATCCTTTCACAGAACACAGAAATGAAGAACTTAAAAGAGCAACAACAAAGCAGAATCTGAAGGAAAGGACCTGACACTGTGCTCTGACATAAGCAACACCAAAACAAGTTTAATCCCTCAAAAATCTCTTTGATTTCCAGCCTTAACAGTAGCACTAAAAAGACTCATTAGCAGTACTGTTTAAACAGAGATATCATTACCAGAAAGTTGGATTCCATCATACAAACTCATGCTAAGGGCTTTTTGTCCCTGTTGCCTCCTTTTGTTGTTACTCTCTAATAACAGCAACCACGAAACTCAGAATTTTAAGTCTTCTAACAAGCCAATAAGAGCCCAAATCTTTTCTTGTCCACTGTCCAACCACTTTCCTTCCTACTGCAACTTCTCCATCTGTGCATTTCTTCCCCAGGCACTCATCTCCTTTAGAAAGGAACTCTACCATCACCACCTTCTCTTCACTAATCCTTCAATTGTCTGGGTTTTGAGAGTGGAAATGAGGAATAAGAATGTAGCAGGAAATCTCAATATAAATAGCAGTCAGGAAATGTATTTAATCTATCAAGGGGAAATCTGCCTGTATCAGGCTGAAGATAAGTACAGCAGCTTTTCATGGCAACTTAAGAGCTACCTTAAATTTCACCACAGATAACAACTGAACTACTTCACAGGAAACTCGACCTTTTGACACACTTTTGTGTACCAAAACTCAGACCTGCTTAGGCACCACATTGGCCCAAGCATAAAAATCTGCCTCTTGATCCTTTAATCATGCTACTTACACAGAAAAAGCTACAGGCTTTAACTTACTTCCAGCCAGTGTTTAAATATAGTCCTATGATCCTGGTTTTAACTACATGACCAGAGAGAATTTTCTGCATTGACAGCTCTCAGGTCTGAGACACTTGAACATGAATCAGAACAGAAAGAAGCCTTCCTTGTCAGCAGAGCTCCTGCTTTATTTTTTTCACGTGCTGAGTGAGAAGGCACAATGACATACAGTAAGAAAATGAAGCTCTGAAGGTACCAACAAAATTATGTTGTCACAAAAAACCAAACAACTCTTGTCAGAGAATTCCTACGCAGTGCTGATCAAACTTTGTAATTTAAATTTTTTTTTAACAAGCAGGCAATGAACTAGGCTCAAGTTTCTGCACGTGCAACTTAAGGTCAGATGGAGCTATAGCACAGTACAACTGAAATGCTACATGCAGTTACACACAGGTAGGTAAATGCAAAACCTCCAATCCTTAGCTAGCCAGATAAAGAATTCAAAATCCAAATAAGTTTTCTCAAAATCCACGTGCCTCTATTCATCAAATGCAAAATGGAGCTCACACCAATCACGCTCAACAAATAACCAAAAGTACTTGGCTGCTGGACAACTGGATGTAACGACACCACAGGGCAAAAAAACCCATCAATCCCATTTTATGCTTGGAGTATTTCAGGTCCTACACAAAACCCTTCCTTCCATGGAAAGCCATCACAGCATACGTGATATAATGGAGCAAATCAACATTTCAGAGACTTTAAACCACATGGCTTCTCATCATCATTTAGTTTTTATATAAATCTGTCATGATTGAAAAAGCACATCAAACAAAAACACAATCTATAAGACAGAATCATATGGAATCACACTCACATGACTTCAGTTAAGCTGAAACCTTCAGACCAACTGCACAGACTCCTACCACTGGAGTTAACAGTACTGTGAATAAGGACTGCTATTAGCCAGCACTGTAGAATAATGGGATATAATGCCAATGGCTTTCACAATCAGTAACGGCACAATTTCTGTCTTGACCTTACCTATGCAAAGCTAAGAACAGAATATTCTCTGAATGTACAACTGAGCACTCTCCCAAGTGGTAACTTTTACTCTGCCTCACGTTTCTTTACTTCAAGCAGCTTTCCTACGCTAAGCTCTACGCTGTTTGGTTGCATGATTCTCTCCTGTCCTACCTCTTCTTCATAATACATACAGGAAACCTATTTTCACAACCTTTTCTGCTCATTTAGTTCTCTTGGGGTTGGTTGGTTTTTTTTTGGTCACACCTCACCTCCCACTTCCTTCTTTGGCTCTCAACTGTAATTTTCTTGTCCAGCTGATGCTAGTCTTTATTTCCTCTCTTTACTTTCAACCATAAATTACACCTTTGCAGGCTTTTTGCCAAATTTCCTTTTCCAGCTTACCCAAGATACGAAATATCTCCCTTAGTCCACTGAATAATGTGGTTTTCTCCTTTGTTCTGTCTGGGTGCCAATTAGAAAGGACTTGATAGAGCATTCACAGTACACAGGAGAATGAAGATCCCCGTTCTTAATGCTGGTGACATACTTTAACAGCCAACACAGGGAAAACCCCCTGTATTTTGCTCTTCCTGAGGCGGAAACAGCTCATACACAAAGCACAAAACATATGCTGTAGCTTTTTGGTTATGTCACCATATGCAGACCAGCTAAGACAAGCAAGTGACTATTTGTAGTCTTGAAACACTATTTTAAATACTTAAAAATCCACAGATTTTTTAATGGATTCTTAATACCTCAGAGGCTCTTATTTTGGCTACACTTAGGTGCCTTTGCACAAAGGAAGGAAGATGATCCATCTAGAAAAGTTCTAGCATCCTGAAAAGAGCCAAATTTGTCTGACAGGTCCAAGAAGTACCACGGCCACCCACTAAAGGTTTCAATAGATGTTACTGGAAATTTCGAGTTTTGTTTCATAAATGGCCTAATTGTTTGAGCGTGGGTAAGAGCAAATGACAGAACAGCAAACAGTCCTTACACAGCATTTCACCCCAGACAATCACATGCTGTAAGAGTAACTTGTCACTGCAAAATCTTACCACTGGTATAACCACTGAAGTTCAGAAACAGTGAGTATTATCAGTATTTCCTAATGGAACCTTAGTAACCAAAAGTTACAGTCTTTGGCTATAACACTGCTATGCTGTATCAGAGGGAGATTGCTTTGTTTGTCCCATTTTCCTTAAGAGCAGCGAAATAGAAGTTCTACCAACAGTTTACATCAGGAATAACTTCCATACAAATCAAACTTGATACAGTAGGATTCTAACTTCAATGTAGGTTTTTTTTTTAAAAGGCTCAACAGGATCTCATTCATGGAGAAGCATAGCTGCAGGCAGGTAATATCTAGAAATATTCAGCCATTTAGGTTAGGCCACAAGGGGAAGGTCGATTTATGAGTTTTTCACATTCATGCAGCAAGAAAGTCCATTCAAAGGCACTTCACACACCTCTACTGTGAAATGTTTCTATAAACTGCACATTCCTTTTCCTGATGTGATCAGAAAAGGTAATTTAACACGTAACGAGTTGGTACAGTGTGCAGACAGAGAAAAGATGACGTGAGAACAAGAAGTGTTTCCTCGCTCAGATGCTCTAGTGCTTCAACACTTGCACAAATCAAAGCTGTCCGTTTAAGCGCCTAGGTGAAGAACGTCTCCGTTACCTTAAAGGTAAGCATCCAGTCATTGGTAAGCACTTAATCACTCATCCACCAATATCTTACATTACATTCAGCATTGCTTCTAGGCCTCAGATAACAATTCCTCCATGGGTGACCTATATCGAAAAGCCAAACGCTAGAAGTCTCCAGGACCACTGCAAATAAACTAGGATCTGTCCTATACTCACTAGATTTCATGGCATTCGGGGCGTTGGAAGGTGCATTCCCCCAGCCTGTTGTCGATGCTCCTGTATCATCTACTTCACCCCACCCGGGACTGGTTTCATTTGGCTCACCCCAGGCGGACGTACCATTATCTGGAGCAGGCGGAGTGCTTTTGCTCCAGACTGCACAAAGGAGAAAGAGTTTTCATTACAGACCGTTTAGACAACGAACTATTTACTGCAGTGCAGCACCATGTCATTATTCTACTGCATTACGTCTGCTGAAGACTCTGAGGTCTCAATAGTGTGGGTGAAACAGAATCAAAAACTGTTCGTATCAACCGTTCATGGTGGGCTCTGAGCTTCAGGTATGAAAAGAAAGAACATAAGGATGAATAATATTCTTCTCTCAGGTTAAATATGAACCTAACCCTATTTTGTCTTCTGGTGAACTTCTTTTACTGAAAGCACCAGACCATTTGGGGTTTTCATATACTGAAGAACAACTAAGAACATGACAGTACACCTCACTTATTTCCAGGCTATGTAGGATTGATTTCTTGATTTTTATTTTTTTTTAATTATTATTTCAAAGAAGAAAATACTTCGCTAAATATTCTTCATCGTACAGTAGAACCAAATTGAGCTAAGAAACTAAACCACATGCTCATTCAGTGTCAACTGCTATTAACCATGTTTCAAAGCAAACAGTTTTTGACTCAAAACAAATACAGAATTTTTCCCTGTTTCTCTAGTAATTAAATAAAAGTTCTGTAAGAATTCAACCCTTCCCAGATAGAATACTTGCCAGCTAACACTTTTTTTTTTTTTTTTTACTGGCAAGCTGACCAGTCTTCAGATCAAAGTTAAGGCACAATAAGCAAAGGACTATTTGATTCAAATTAATGACACTTGAATTCAGGACCAAACATGCAAGTAAGAAATGGCTTTTCATTATGAAATAATGCTATTAGCTATAGGCTACAAGTGTACCTCTTATGCAGAAGGGTTACGATCATAGAAATTTGCTGAAGAAAGGAATGAGTACCTGATGCTTGTGATTTGCTAGTCATTGGAGTAGGCAGGCTCTGTTCCCGTGGGGCCTGTCCTCCTTGTGAGTTCTTGTCCCACAGGTTCACATTCTTGTAGTTGTAACTGCTAGGATCTCCCCACGCTGAAGTGCCATCATCAATATCCATTTTCCGACTGATTGACTGTGGAGAAGGTTCTTCCCAGCCACTAGGCTCCTCGTCTTTGGGGGCAGCTGGTTGTGGTCCGCTGTTCCAGTTTGGGTTCGGAGGTCGCCCATTACTTGGAGTTTGTGGCGGTGGACCCCAGGAACCAGAAGTCTCCTGCTGCTGCTGCTGTTGTTGCTGCTGCTGCTTGTTCCAGGAGTTGGGCTGTCGACCCGTCTCGTTCCACGTTGAATTTCTTTTACAATCGTCCCAACCACCCTTTGAAGCAGAGCCTGTATTTGCACCATTACCCCAAGTTCCAATCTCATTTTGCCCACCTTCACCCCAACCAGATGCTGGCTTATTTCCTGCACTTTCCCAGTTGCTGTTTTTTGCTTGGTCAACTTCCTCTCCCCAACCGTTCTTTCCAGAAGACCATCCTTGATTAGGCTGCCGTCCACCCCACCCCTGATCCTTACTAGAGCTGTCATTCCAAGAAGATGATGATTTCTCTTCTTGTCTTCCCCCTCCCCAATTAGATGAATTGGGGTTCTTATAGTCATTCCATCCTCCAGTATTTTTGGGGTCCTTCCACTCTGTTGGGGTTGAGAGCTCACCCCATCCAGACTTGATTTGATTGCTTTGGCTGGGTACATCGCCCCAGCCCCCTGAGTTCTTTGTCTGTGTGGCAGAGCTCTCCCACCCCTCAGTTCCTTTGTCAGACTTCCCCTCAGGCCGTGGCATCTCTTCAATATCCCATACGGTATCTTGCTTAATTTGTGTTTGGCCCCAGCCAGTGTTTGAAAGCACTCGGGGGTCCAAATCAGTCCTGCTCAGCAAAGTCTGCAAGACTGCCTGGCAATCAGGATGTGTAGGCCTATATGATCGGCGTCCAGAATTGTGACTGTCACTACTTCCTGCTTTGTGGTTGCTTCCAGTGCTTTGACCTCCAACCTCACTTCCTGCAGAGCTGGAAGATCTTCCCCAACAGGGAGCCTGGGAATTGCCTTGGTTTTCAGGAAGAGGGTGGCCTTTTTGATTGTCCCATGCTCCAGTGCTAGAATTTGGTTGGTTTGGACCACTCCATTCTCCAATCTTCAGTTCATCAGACCCAGACAGCTGTTTCCATTCTCCCTGAGAGACCCCAGATGTTAATTTGTTCCCTTCACCCCATTTGCTTTCATTTGCATGCTGAGGGCCAAAGTTCCAAGACCCACCACCCGTAGACCGGTTATTGTTATCCCAAGAATCGCTTCTTGACCCATTAGATTTTTGAACAGAAGCTCCTTTCCAGGAGTCCTCCCTATCCTTTCCATTGTTCCCATGGTTTCCAGAATTGCTCTGTCCAGAGACCGTGTCAGTTCCAGAAGACCCCCTAGCTGTACCCCAAGACCCAACACTCCCAGTCTTTCTTTCTCCAGTGCTTTGTGAAGGGGTGTCAGTGCTCCTGGAAGGGTTCCCCAAGCCCATTTCAAAGGGCATTCCCTTATTCTCCATAGGGTTTGGTGAACTTAAGTTCAAGGAGTTAGTGTTTCCGTTTTTTGGTCCATCAGTGTTATGAATTTGAGCCTGTTCTCTGCCAGAGACAAAGTTAACACCCGCATTTTCCATCTTTGACTGCTGTTCCCTAGAGGTCTGACCTACTGTGCTAATCTGTGCATTGGAGCTACCACTATCAGATTCCGAAGTCCCTTTCCTAGAATTGCCCTCTTGGACCAGTGCTGGCCAAGCAGACGGGTTGCTATTTGGGTTAAAGTTGCTGAAGCCAGAACCAGAACCAATTCTATCTTGTCCAGTCAAGTTCCTCCAATTACTTAGTCCATTGTTACTCTCGGCAGCAGGGTTGGAAGATTGAACAGATTTAGCCTTGGGATCAGATTTCCAGGCCCCAAGATTACATTCATTTCCAGCGCTTCCAGACTGGCACTGGCTTCCTTTTCCTTTGTTACTAGTGGTGCTTCCTGGCAGAGTGTTCTTCTCCAAGCCAGGGTTCGAGGCACTGTTGTTATCGGTGGTGTTTTCGGAAGAAGACTCAGCATCTTTGCTGGCGATACAAGGCCACTCTTCCATGTCAGACCCGTCTACAATCACCTTGTCCCAGATGTGAGTTGGGTTGGCGTTGGTGCCGCTGTTGGAGGAGGCTCCAGGACCCCAAGTGGAATTTGCATAATTTGAAGCAGCAGCACCTCCAATTGTTGAATCTAAAAAGAAAAAAAAAGCATAAAAAAGACCCCAAAAGGCCATTAATATTCAATACTCTCTACAAACACTGAACATCACGTTTTTGACACCACTGACTATCGATTCGATTAATACACTGATCCTATTCTCATGCACATGTCACAAAGTTGCTTAGGAAGAACAAGAAGCTAGAAAACACCATTAAAAATGCATTTCAAGAAATTCCCCAGAAGTAGTTTGCGGGCATCTGAATTCTGGTTAAGTCTCTCTGTGTCTTACACACCAGCTGATTCAAGTTCAACACAACGACTGCAACTCACTAAATGAACCTGTATGGTCACTACTGGCACTAGTTGTAGACTTCTCAAAAACAGATGAAATCGTACTATGCGCAGAACAAGAATATATATGTGCACACACTTTTATGCATGCATGTTTGTATAGTCAAGTAGGAGACTACATGATGGAGTTCAAGAAGTGTACAGTCTGATTTTTGGGTGATCCCACGTGGAGCCAGGAGTTGGACTCAGAGGTCCTTATGGGTCACTTCCAACTAAGGATACTCTATGATTCTGTGACCGATTCAACAAAGCAACCAGTATTTCTGACAGACAGAAAAGTAAAAGATGAAAAACATAAAAGGAATATAAAGCTGAAGAAGTATATCCTTTAGCTTCAGATACATCTTTTTTTTAAGTTGATTTTGCCAGCAGAAGTTTCTTTACACCCTTACAAAACAAAGAGTTTTCTTTCCCAAAGCTATGCTGAAAGGAGTAAACCAAGACAAATTATAATTTCTCTGTAGTAGCACGCAAGCTGTATTGAGCTTAATTATTCCACATCTCTATCACTCTACCACATAAATCACAGTTTGTGGTTTTGTGAGAAACTGAATCAATCTCTCCACCACTAGACAAAAGCTAACAAGATATCAAACATTTCCTCCTCTCTTTTGACTGATCTACTCCAAATTTGCCAAGTCTCACCTCTCATTTGTGACAGTTCCAACAGCCCTTTAATTAAGTCAACTGTATTCACAAACTCAACAGCACACTGTCCACTTCCTGATATGTTAGCTTTTGCTAACACTGCATTTATAGGGCAACCTCCAAGTCCAATAACTTTAAAGAGTCAGTGAAAGAAAATGACAGGAGAAATGACTACGAAAAGGACCACAATGTCAAGGTATTTGTAAACAGTTTTAAAGCACACAAATTAATAGTGGCACAATGAAGCCTATGTCAATGCTAACAGCATAATGTTTGCATATGTACAGACAGTCCTCTCATCAATTTAAGAAGTCAGGCAAGGTTTTCCCTTTCACCCAAAGTTACCTTTGCTCATCTAAATAATTTCATTTCATTTCTACTTCTATGTGCTTCTCTATATAGCGCCATTTACTTTTCTACACATCCGTAATACAGAAGAACTTGAAACTGCCCACAAATTTTCATGAAGAGTGAACACTCCCCGTTCTACAAACTCATGCTGAACGCTAATAAAGTTATAATGACTTACAAAAACAGTTGATTTTTTAAAGTACATGTGTTATGTACTCAAGAGTGAAGACCAACATTTCTGATTACTATTAGTAATAACGAAAGCTTTCAAATTTGATGAACTGAAGTCTGTCTTCATCCATTAACACTAGGCCACCAAAATCCAACAAATCACGCAGTTCCCATGCTCACCCTGTTCCTTCTGTTATTTTAATGTCAATTGCAAACTTGAGAAGAGCAAGGAAGTGCGACTCCATCCTTTTAGTACAGTGAGTAACCTCACCCTTCCCTCCTCACTCTTTTTTTTTCCCAATTAAAATCAGTTACTTTTAATGATGAAAATAAGGAACTGAAGAAAGTGAAAGTACTGAAATGGAGTCCAGAAACAAAGATTCAGTTTCGGTGTGAGAGACCATCTGGTGATTCCTGGAGGATATTATGATGACTGAAAGATGTTCACCAATGGAATTTAAACTTTGTTTTCAAAAAATGTCTTGCACGTTCTGAAGATGACTCCTAGTAGAAAAACGATATACAACCCTCTACCTGACAGCACTGCTACAAGACAGTAGTAAGCTTGGTAAACAGAAGTCATCTTTCAGGGGATTAGGGTTTTGTCATCTTATACTGCATTCCAATTCTGGCAGGCAAACATACACGTGAACAAGGATTAGTTCTTGACCTTCTATATTAATAATTGCTCTTGCTGTAGTTGTTCAGTTCTGTTTGTTTTCCCTTGTTTTCTATAGAAGCTGCACTGCTACAGGACAGCAAAATAATAATTTTTTAAAAATGGATCAGTTACTGGCAATCGAAGACTTCACCAACACCACCCACTGCCATTTGGTGAATTTAACAATGAGAAGAATTACCTAAAGTATTTTCCCCTTTGAGAATCTGCCTTCTTGTGTGCGTTTGTGTGTGTGTGTGATGAGTTCATCATCATACATGGCTGCTTGACAAAATTAGGTCCAAGTCTGACACCCAATTTTGAAACAGCCAGGATCCCAGAAGGAACTGGTGACAGGAGAGGCACGGCAATATCATGCTTCCATAAGCAATTTCCTGAAGCCTTTTAAGTGTGGCACTAACCTTCCTCTTAGACAGCTGCTCGTTTGCAGTCCTCTGCCACACCTACTGCCATGTGCTGTCATCCGTGTTGCTACTGACAGTCAGTGAGTTCAACTGGGAAATTATCCAGACTGAAATGAGCTTTATACACCAACTTGGGTTAATTTTAATCCAAGTCAGCTCCTCGGCCCAGATACTGTGTTATGGTGCAGAAGTGTATTCGAATAGGGTGAGGCAAGTCTGAAGGGCACAGATCTTCCTTGGCAACACTCCAGACTTGCATAAGACTGTGGCCATAAATGTTGCCACAATCAATAAAATACAACCATATAACATAATCTCAGTAATTGAGTTAAAGCTGAAATATGAGAATTCATAAAACTTGAGGTCAGTCTCAAAACCAAATAATAGCTGTTGAACACATAATAATTACACAGAACTTAAGAAGTGTATAAAACACTTCAAATTGGTTTGAATGAAGCTCAATCAAAATTTTAAAAAATTGCTGCTGGAAGAAATGAGAAATCTTGAGTATTTTTAGAATGTTTTGCTACCATAATGTCTCCTCTGTCAGCCTATCACTGTGAAGATACGCTAATGCTGACATAACGCTTGGATTTTATACCTCAAGTATGAAAACTTTGGGCTGTTGTTTGTTGTGGTGATTTTTTTCCTCACCATTCCTCTTTCAGGTGTGTTTCTCAAAAACAGCCATCTCTCTCTGATATATTTTAAAATCAATTAGCTAACATTTTTCTGTTTTAGCTTAAAACTTGCCCACCATTAAACAGGGAACATGAGAGACAATAAGACAAAAAATCTGTCAAACAGTGATTCACTACCAAAGAATTCAAGTGTGGAAGAGGCAAAACAGACTAAATTATTCATTTTCCTAGGAACTTCTTAAATAGAAACAAAACCACCTCACCTCGCTTACTACATTCCTGAGTTTCAAACCAGCTCAGAGTTCATCTTTTTGGGGAGTGCAGAGAACTAAAAAGTTTATGCTCTCAATGATGGGTAAAATAACCCACTCTGTTGGGGCTTTCAAAACAGACGTAATGGTAGCATTTTTCCTTTTTTTTTTTAACTTTATTTTAAATCCTGATTGTTAGAACTGAAGTGTCCTTGAATACTCAGATCAACTAAGCTTTTCTTTAGATGTCCCAAGTGGACTTTTCTTTTTCTATTATTCTAAGTTAAGAAGGAAATATTACTGTTACTGCAATCCCTCAAGCTACTAAAAAAAAAAAATAATAAAAATCAAGAGCAGTCAGTAATTTTTCTGTTCTCAGTGACAGCTATTAAATGCTACCCATTTATCGCTATGCTTTATTTACCTCGTTGTGGTCCAAAGAGCCCTACAGTACCCAATTCAAACCACTCAAAACATGCGTATCTTTAAAAAAAAAAATAATCACTGTTCTGATTCCAGACAGCAGTAAAAATTGCATACAATGCTGCTATCAGGAAAGGAAAAGCGTATGCACTAAAAGAGCAGGAGCCAGCTTTCCAGAATTCTGTCAGAGCACAATTTCAGCGATCCCTTTTCTTAGGAGCGCGCGCACGTGGACGTAGCGTCACCATGCTCACTCACCTGTTGCAGTCCCACTGTCGCTCTGCAGCAGTGCTCCTGTCACTGGTTGTGCGTTGTTGGGGTTTGCTCCTGGTGCTGTCGGGGGAGGAGGCCCTGCTCCACCCCCAAGGAGCATACAGGATGGTGGAGGGGGCTGCCCACGTTTCAGTAACACTTTGTGGTCCTGCTGGCAACGGAATCGCGGCGGCACCTCCCGAGGCATGTAGCGGGCGGCGCTTGGCGGTTGTCCGTTCGGCACTGCCACCCTTTTGGCATTGTTGCCACCATTGACTGGTGGCGATGGAGAGTTGCCAATTGGGCTGGCAGCCACTGGTTGGCTTAAACTTGGTTTCGTCACTTCGGGCACTGAAAAACAGGAAAAATCAAAGTTAGGCAGTCTTCCACTCAAACCTGCGTTAGCTACAAGAGGTGGTTGCAACTCTTTTCTTTTATAGTGCCATTCTTCTCTGATATACCATGCAGCTTCAACCTTGCACAAATAAAATTTAATTGGAACTCTGCCCTTGGCAAGCCTCTTGAAGTATCAATTTTTTTTTTAAAGTAATGGTGGCAAATGATAACACCCTAGGTCAGGAGAAGTTTTAAAAGATGAACAGTCATACATAACCTTTTTTTCCCCTTCTCTTCCCCATCTTCAACTGGTTTTAGGATTGTTATGCATCACCCTTACTGGAGACCTGAAATCAGATTCTAAGTTTCACTTGCTTTGGCCATTGCTAGAACACAGAGCAAAAGACCCTGCTCAACAACTGAGAATTAACAAGTCCGAGCACTCTAATCCTCTCTGAAATAAGGCAGTAATATTTGACTCTTATTCAGAAAGCAGTCCTACCTATAGCATTTGTGTTGGGCTTGCCTAAAGTTTACCACCTGGTCACCAGATGCTCCTATAAGCAAGGATAAGCTGCTTCTGAAGGCTATTGTGCCTTAGAGAAAAGTAAAAATGCAGACAAATCCTTGAGAAAGTAATACTGTCCAAAACTGCAGGTTGAGAGAGGTGGGGAGGGGTTGTGTCCCCTTCCTAAAACTCTCCCTGCGCTTTTTTAAATACTGCAAAAGAAAATCAGGCATTACCTTAGTCTTGCACCTGCAATAACTCACTAACAGAATCCAAAGAGGAAAATTTAATACATTTCCTATAGCCTCTGCTGGAGACTAATACAAGAAAAGCATGCTCAGCAACCCCTCCCCACCAAAGTGAGCATTATCAGCAAAACTTTTGCTCTTACAAAAGAGAGATCAACACCAGGGAGTCTCTCTCTAGCAGCTGTAAATGCATTATCCCCCACATATTGTTTTGATGAGCATTTTCTGACTTCTCTATATAGGTTCCATTGCCCCTAAACCAAAAAAAAAGGTATTGTCAGCTGTAAACCCAAGTACTATCTTACCTCTTCTCTGCCATTTCTTTTTAATGGCAACTTCCTCACGCAAGTTTTAGAAAAGTGACAAACATACCAGCTAAATAAGCCAAGCATTCAAGATGTTCATTCTTCAGTTCTGCCCTATTTTTTTGGCTTTTAGGTGCTTGGACTTCATTATCCCTTAATTAATTTTCCAGAAACAAGTCTTTTTTGCTCATTTCGGTACATCACCGCACGCAGTACTTTCCCTGTCTTCCATTCCATTCATATCATAGGTTTCAGTTTTCAGTTATTCATCTAAAACCTTTGTAAATTTGAAAGTTGGGCTAAATATTTTAGCTGGCCTATTTTAGCTACATCCACCATTTTCACTTCTAGTATTCTGGCGCTGACAAAATGGACAGTTTCAGTTTCTCCATTTTAATCCTCTTAGCTTCTTCTCTCTTCCTAATGCTCATTTTGAGTACTTCATCTCAAATCATAACTCCCTTTTCTAACAGCTTTGATCAAAACCAAGTTTGGACTCAAGTCAATAAAAATACTCTTCAGGATTAAACAAAGACTCTTACCTTTGGTTTTTTGATCTGTGACCTGCAAAGTAAGAGCAAGAATGTAAATACAGTTGTAAGAACCTCAAAACAAACATTCAGCAGGCTGCACTAAATCATGAATTTATAAGCACAAAATGGGTATAAGCTGAAAGAAAATAGTCAGCTGATCAACTGCAAGTATCAGAACAATTTACGTCTTATATATAAATTGTTAAGAACAACAGTTTCTGGAATACCTTTGCCTCACAGAAAATTATCTGGCAGAAACAGTGATTACTGTATTCTTCATTGTTAGTATTCACCCCCTTCCTCTTGCCAAACACCTACTTGTGAAGCATGAATAAGCTCAACGCTAATTTGTGAAGCACAAATAAACCTGAGCTATATACCATTACAGCTTCTTCAGACTGTGCACATTAAACATTACAGCTAAACTGTAATAAATCCTACCCTCTATACAAGTATACCTACAGTAGACTGTTGGGGCTAGCAACAGAATTCCCCCAGGGTCGCTGTATGTGAGAGTACCAATCTGTCTCTGCCACCTTCCCTTTCACTTTTCACACAGCATCCTCCCCAGGGTGACAGGAGGTTCACTGTTTCAATTACAAAAAGTACCAGAAATACCTATAAAGCACCAGGCTTCAACATCACTTGAATGCAAGCAGTTGGTTACTGAAGTGAGCCATCATGCTGGCCAATGCACTCAATGTGGTGTTTTGCTGTACTTTTACATTCTTACAGCATAGCAGATTTCAAGCTACAGCAGACACAAACATATCACTGGCGTATTCTGCGGAATCATGTGAATCGTAGCATGTTTTGATCCTGTCGATCATGAGCTCCACTACACAATAAAGGAAAAACCCTAAAGATCATCATGTGTCAGGCTCTATGACACCTGTTCTGAAAAAGAAATTGCTGAGCTAGTCCATAATTCTGGAAAGCACACAGGGACAGTATAGAATAATGAAAGCACAAGTAAAAAGCAGTTTATTGTCTAAGCCAACCAAGCCAGAACCCTTTTGTATGGTAAAGAATAAAAAGACAAACTGTCCTGAATTGCTGTGACATCATTTACTTCACAAAAGTGAGGAGTGTAATATGCAAAGTGAAATATTCACTATAATATAAACCAAGTATTCACTAAATATAAATATTCACTAAAATATAAACCAAACTCAAACATCCTAACTTCAGATTTATGCAACTCTTCTAAGAAACCAACAATGCACCTGTACCAAAAATGTGTCCATACTGTGCCAGATGTCAGTTTTCATTTCTTTTAGGAAACATCCCACGTGTGCAAAGCCGGATCTGCCTCTAGAACAGCTAAAATTCTGTTAAGCACTTAAGTGACTGTAACGCTTTGTTGCTAAAGGAAGGTGAAATGGAATAAAAGAATTCATGAAACCAACGTTGTAATGCTGATAGGTTCCCTATGGTAAGAGCAAACACCTTCTGTAAATAACTCGTCTACTTGGAAGAACACCCCTTCACCAGATGTTCAAAAAATCCTAAATTATAACCACTGTTTTAGATTAAAAAAACCACTTCTGCCTATGCTACATCCATAGTCAAAACTATCTGGTTTTGTCATTTCTCAGATCCAGAATACAGAAGCTGAGAAAGTGACTGCGTGTCTCAGACTTACAGCCGTCATCTCTCTGTGGGAAACCTGGGAGCACTGGCAGGACGGGGCCAATCTCAGCCTTCTGACAAGCTACCAAACAGCCCCTGGGACACAAACCACAGGCATTCAGTCTATGAATCTGCTTGCATAACCTTTGCTGATTTTCATCTTTTTCTTTCGTTAAGTTTCTGAAGATCCAGACGGAAACAGCTGTTTCATGTTATACAAACCCTATCTGAAAGAGCCATCCCCCAAATCACTGCTGGTTTTTTGGTGATCACTACTGCAATCACTAAGAACGGACACACACATTTACGTTCTGCCTATATTCCCAGCTGTCTTCAAGTATTACTCCCACACTTGGTCTCCAGGAGATTAACTTACTTTCAGTGTTTACCTTTTCCCAGATTTTGGCAAAATATCTTAACATGCAATCACAGCAAATAACTTGGTAGATGAGGGACCACACAGGAAAGCTGGCAAATCTCCTTTGTATTCAAAGTACTGACTCCTCTGTAAACACACTCAGCACTGCTATCAACACTATCAGTACAACCTTTCCAAGTTTTTGTTGTGTGGAGTATTAGCATATAATTCTCAAATCACTACTCCTTACTCACAAGCCTCTGCCCCTCCTGGTTCCTACATGGCTGAAAACACACCATCTATTTTTATTTTCTACTTGAGCATTAAACAGCAGCAACACTGAAGGAAAAAGACAGATGCTGAAGAAACCTTATTCTGTAGCTACTGATTTTCTGCAGTATTAGTGGGGATGCATCATTGTGACACTGGACTAAGGACAACAGAAATACGCTAGGTTTATCTGCACCAATTTTGAAGTGGTACACTTAAATTGGTGGGGAAAAAAAAACCAGACTCAAATAAAAGCTCCCAATGAACTAAAATTTAACTGACGCTGCAGAACCAGTATCAGCTGTTCTTAACACAAAGCTACGTAACCTAACAGCAGAAAAGTAACACCAGGAATCTGAAGTAACTGAAAAACAAGGACTACTGAAAGTAAAGCACTCTGCTTTCAATCTCACAGTACTGTTGAGGTTGGGAAGCACAGCCTCTGGAGATGTGGCACTACTACTCTGTAGCTCTCCCTCAACCTGTGGGTCCCAGCTCAAAGCAAATTACCAAACCCAAGTTGCTCGGGGCCACGTCCAACTTGTTTCTGAGCATCTCCAAAGAACCACAACTTCTCCAGCAAACCTGTTCTAGTGGTTGCCCATTCACACACGCTCACAAAAATATCCTCCTATGATTAAGCAGAATTTCTTCTATTTCCAATTTGCGCTCCCCTCTTCACGTCCTGTCTTGTGCACAACCGAGAAGAGCCTGGCTGCATCTTCTTTCCTCCCTCCCACCAAATATCTACACATGCTCCCCTGTGCTTCCTCTTCCCCAGGTTGAGCAGCTCCAGCTCACTCAGCCTCTCTTCGTTTGTCAGGTACTCCAGTCCCTCCATCACCTCTGGGGCCCTTTGCTGATTCCACTCAAGGATCTTTACAACCATCTTGGACTGGGATGCCCAAAACAAGACGGAGAGGACTTACGTAAAAAGCACATCTAAAATTGCAAGAGATGCTGAGTTCACACTTCGGGTTAATCTCTACAATGACCTCCTACATTTTTAACAAAAAGGAGCACTTCCAAACAAACCAAGTGTTCAAACTCATCCATTGAGCATAAACACTTTACAGTGATTCTTCCAGAATCTCCACTTCAACAAAAGTGTTACTGGGCAGAGAAATTGTAAAACGTAAACCATATGCAGCAAACAATAAAAGCAACTTCAACAGAAATATTTCACATAACCTTTTTTAAGAATTTCTAGCATTCCCATCTCCAAAACACCTTCAAACACTGCGAAACGCACATACTGAGTGCCCATATTCAGCAACATTAATTAAATATTTCTTATCACAAAACTGATTACTTTTTCTTTGCCTGACAAACCAAAGAAAAAAATATCAAAGTTTACTAAAAACTGAACTTCAAGACAAATAATGCAGAAAATCTTTAATGAAGCATTACTAGAACTTAGACAACAAGAGGCTTTATTCTCAAATGCAAGCAATCTAATATTTTACCAGCCCCAGTACTATTTATGCTCTAGTTGGATAGGAGAACTCAAACATCAACACCTACCTTCTGAGCAGATTCCTTCTTTTTCTTATCCTCCTTCTTCCTTTTCTTGTCTTCCATTAACTGTTCTTCCCTTTCTTGCTCCTTCTCTCTGCCAAAACATAAATAAAACCAATATGAGCATGACCAAGTTCTGTGGGATCCACATGTATTATATACCTCTTCCCCACAAGAAAAGAAGTCCAGACAGCAGATTCTTCTGATCATCATGTTTCTTTTGCATTGAAGGTTTCAGCCTAACTGAGATCAGAAAAGCACCTTGTAGTTCAGTGTGGCCACAATCATGAAACTTACTGCAAAAAGTAAAAGTCCTTCATTTGGATCAGGCCTCTTCTAGTGGTACCCTATGTAAATTAACTACGTCTGATACTAAAAATTCCTTCAAGGCATTTTGGCCAAAGCATCCTTTTAATTGGGTTGTACTATTATTTAATGAAGTCTCATAAATCCTTTCATATGGCAAAAAAGGGAAGTAGTAATTTAAATAAGATGGTTTGGTTTGATATAACATATGTCTTCATAGGGGAAGAGATTGTTCTATTCCCTGTAGCTATGCCACTTGTAAAAGACTAGAAGTGTCATATCAAATCAAAACCATCATTTATTACACAAATCACTAATTTCTAGCTTACTGTACCCAGCCAAATTTTTTTTGTGACAAAATCTGTAATATAAACTACTTTCCAGGGAGAGCATTTTCTACCCAAGAACATTCCTTTAAAGAAAATTAAATGAAGAAAGAAAAATACGTGCAGTTGCTATTTTGTCAAGCAATCATCTTGTTGCTATGTATTGTGCCAAAACAAAGTACCATTAATGGTTAATTTACTGCATATGTGCTACTGCCTGAGCTGTTTCTATGGTGAGCCACTCTGATTAACTAATTATCTTCACCTGCTTAAAAGGACACTTAAGATCAAGTTTTCAACTCACTTAGAATATATTCTTTTTTTAATCAGGGAAATTGTAAGACAATTGATGTAAAAAAATAATATGACAGGAGGGAGAGGGCCAGAGAAAAGGGATGTGTACTTTAGAAACGGGAAACATCCAACACATTCAATCCATGAACTTTTACAACATAACTTTAATTCAGATGGATGAAAACGGATTCAGGGAGTTTCAAAATACCAACCTTAAATGCACAGAAATATCTGTGTCATATTCAGAGTAGGGGGAGAGGAAGGAGAAGAAAACATTTTGACTCACTATGTTGGCTGTAATAGCTGAAGCTCATACTTGTACTAAGTATTTATTTAAATGATGCACAAATCCAAGTTCTTTGTGAGTACAATTTAAAAAGATTAGAGCTGAGCTGGCTTTGTTGTCATGTCTTTCAGAATTCTCCTTCCACTGTGAGCTGCAATACCTCAAGTAAGAGGTTGAAGTGCAAAGAAAAATGTACCTTTTCTACAGATAGAAAGTAGAACATTTTCCTGGTTTCATGAACTCACTCTCCTCCTCGGTGGATGGAGACTAGAATGGATGAGTGCTCAGTAATACCATCCTCAGGCTATTGCCACGTGCAATTTATACATTAACGGCAAGTCCTGTCCCATTTTAACAAAACTGGAGGCATTCTCCATCATACTGAGCAGCGTTTTATGCACTCTGTCCAGTAGTGCTGAACAAGGTCAGCTCTCGCTCTTTACTGTTCTCTATAAAATGTCAAAAGCACACTTTCCAGCTCTACACTTCAGCAAGGAAAAGCCCCGCAGTTTTTTCAGTTTCACTAACATGCACACGTAGCATTTGGGGAGATCAGTGCACTTCAAACTGTCACAGCACCGAGATGGAATTTTCCAATTTTCTGTAAGTAATCTTTTTAAGTAATATGGAAAAAGCTCTCCAGTGACACCATTCTCTTTCTGAGTTACTATAACCTCAAATTCTGTTTGCTACCTTCTTACTGACAAACAGCTTGGACCCTTTGGGCTGCAGTGCCAGTTATAACTTCACAGTCTCTAAAAAACTTTCCTGTGGCAGGCAAACATTTAAGAGCTGTCTTAAAGGAGCTGCTGAAAAAGGGTAGGATGAAAAAATGAATTCCAGTAACTGCCTGGCACAAAGACAACCTTCTGCTTAAAAGCACCTACTTACTTCTGCAAGCAGAGCAGGGAATGGAAAAGAACGAGAAAAAGTTGAAATTCACCATCAAAGCTGAAGTTGTGGCTTACAGCAACACGGAGCACTAACAATAAAAAGAACTGAGGACAGAAAACCCATAGCCTACAAAAAAACATGTGGTTATGGTCACCTGCCTGTGTGACCACAAGCTCAGAACAGGCAGACTGCTGCTGCCACCGCCTTGTTTTTCTATATACGTGGATGAGGATCTCTGTTACTAAGGCTGCAGATGAAAGCTTAGCTCGTGAGCCCACCTTTGCTCGTGCTCCTTCAGTAGAGCTGGATATTCAATATCCCACAGGGCACATCATCACCAACTACTACATAGGGATCACCAATACTTAGCAATTCAGGCTTCAAATCAACAATCCACGTAGGCACACAGCTCGGTCCTGTTGAACTGTCAGGGATCTATCCGAACACTGGGGATATGGTCTATGTTCAAAATCATTAAGTTCTTGGCAAAAAAAATGTAACTGAAACCTTACTGCTGAAACATCTACTTCAAAAACGTATGTTTACCATTAAAAGTATGGCAGCTACAATTATGCTGATAAAACTGCTGTCGGCTTTCAGGTGAGCCAGCTTGCAATGGTAGCAGGACAGCAGCCCTGAGAGCACCAGGCAGAAGAAAGGCAAGCAGGTGATGATCTGGAGGGGTGGGGTTTTACTGCTTGTTTGTTTAATGCACTTCTTCTAACATCTGAACACCTCTGATCAGACACTGATCAATACAGCAAGCTGTCTTTCGTGGCTCTCTTTTCTACGACCACATATCATCACAGGAACAGAACCTTGCTGAATACAAACTTGTGAGAACAAAACTGACTGGAGAAAAACAAACATAGCAACGTTCAGTGCTTCAACAAATTCTACAAAACAAAAACCTTCCAGGTATCTCATTAATTGATTCAGAGGATTGCTGCCTATTAACTGAACATCAACTACAAGACTGTTTTCTGGCCTGCCCAGAGAAACCAGGCTCTGTGGTATACCAGGAGCACCGGCTGCTTCTGCTGACAACATCAGCATGGGGAGAAAAATGTAACTCTAAAATGAGTGGATTAAGAGTAATGCAATGGGGCATGGTTCTGTTTTTTTTTTGTTACCAGCACACAGTGATGGAACACAGACACACCAAAATCCTGAAGAGCAAATCTGATGAACAGCAACCAGTAGTTGAATTTTTATTCTAGTTCTCTAATAGGACTTTCATTAATTGCCTGCAAAATCTGAGAATTAACAGTGTTGGAAAATGTTTTAAAAGTGCATTACAGACTTCATTTTTGATTAGCAAAACAAAAAGAAAAAACAACGTGTTAACAGCCTACAAATGAAGGGAATCTCTGAGTGCTAATCCGAATTTTTGTTTCGAAAAGCAACGCCCAGAACAGTAGCTATGACAGTGTATTCAATACATTACCTAGCTCCTTGTACCAACCTCCTCTGGCTAAGACAAAACTAATCATTTCAGAAAACAAGGAGGGTTTTCAGTGAGTTAACTAGGGAGAACAGTTGCAAAATCCAGTTCTCACAAGACATATCAGAAAGAAAAAAAAAAGAGGCATTTAAAAAGCATACCCTCTTACAGAACAGGCTCTTGAGAATGCTGTTTTCCCGCAAAAGCCTAGCATTCATTTTTCCTTTTTCCCCACAGCTTTGGGCTTGAGACATGGGTAAAGAATGGAAGCTGACTGAAAACGGCAGACGAGAGGACGCGCTGCGCTCCACACTGTGACGCTATCTGCTGACAGCACGCCTTGATGGGTGCAGATAACGCCACACACAACCTTCGTCTGTGCGAAAAGCCACAACCCTATGAAGTCATCCTCGACTAAAATTGCATGAAAATTGAAGTTATGCGTAAGATACAAATTGTGGGAAACTCAGAAGTGGCACTTCACAGTATAAAGTTCCAGGTTCCTTCCAAGGGCTGCAAGGCAGCTGCTTAAAATGTTGGCAGTCCCCTGTGAGGACGCAGACCAGACAGCAGAACTACGAGTTCCCTTCCCTCCTTTTGCCCCCGCTCTTTACTTTCACTACTTGCTATAACACAACACGGCAGTGACAGCAAGTTTGTCTGGGTGCAACCTAGAAGTCTTCCTTCAAGCTGGGAACCAACCTTTCTACCCTCCTCCGGAACAGAAGAGATTATGAAACTGCACTTGCAGGACTGACAGCACTTTAACAGAACCAGCTTTTATCTATGTAGCTACAAGGTCACATTTATGACTGATAAATTTTGTCTAGAGACTTAAGCCACAACCAACCGCAGCTGGAGGCCTTCACTCTGCGTGAGAGAATGATATGCACTGCATAGGGCAATCCCACTTGGAGGCAACATGTATTAACTTCAACTAGCGCAGCTCCCCTCTGCTTCAAAACATAGGTCCGGAAGTAAACTAATTATCATTTTAGAAATAGATCAAAAGACTCAAATTTGAAGGTCTAAACCAGGATTTAAATCTACAGTAAGGTATCCAACTCTGGCCAAGATTTGAAGGTAGAAGGATTTCCAGCGAGCTGTAGTTACTGGCATGTGTAATTAAATGAAACTGCAGCCCTTCCACACAGCACTCAGTTAAAACTCTATATAAATTTTATCAATAGAAAGATTGATCAGGAAAAGTATCTGCATTTCCTCCTGCAGCTGACTCTGCAGTTGTGCTAGTAAAGACAACGTATCTTCTCAACTGGGCTGCATTCAGTCCTTTATTCCACCCTCCGCATGTGTAACCCTACTGCTGTCACTTGCATCTCTGCAGTTTTAATTGTAACAGGGGCTTTACTGGTACGTTCCTGCATCACGCTTTGTATATACATGCATTAGAAAGAACACACTGATAGTAACAAGGGCCACGAGCAATGAAGAAGAAAACACAGCATGCGCTGCTAAATGAGTATGCAGGATTTCAGTTCTCACACTCTCAGGCTCAGGCCCTTCTTGTTGCAGCTAAGAACACC